GCGCTATAAACACGTGAAGTGATGAATCGATGACTAAGAATATATGGAAATCATATGAGTGAACTCACGCGGCGGATTAACAAATGAATATGAGAGTGATGTTCGCAGTGATGAACACAAATTAAGCAGTAGTGAAAATAAGGCCTGAAAAATTCACCTGTCTTCAAGAGCTTTCAAGCATGATAAAAGGTGGGTGAGACTTAGTTGATTCGACTTCATTTTAACATATGATTGGTTGAAAGGTGAACGCAATTTTTTTTTCACCGGTCCTAAGGCGTTAAAGTAAATTCAAAGTAGTTCCTTTCGCCTTTGAGTGAAAATTGCTTTACCCGGCTGTTTGGTGCGGCCTTCGACGGTGTGCATAATTGATTCATTTAAATAATCCCTTTATTAGCAAGACCAACGGCGCTGGCGCTAATTTGCTTTAACGGCTTTAGATCTTTACCGCTGCCTGGAGAAAATAAACCTGGCAGGTTTTGTTGCCTACTCTGCGCAATCAATCAGTCGTGCACAACGATACAATGTTTTAAGCACTCCAGCCATCTTGCTCAATTTTTGTCCGCTTAGGCCCGACCAGGGGCCCATTGTGATGGGCTCCTGGCCCGATCGATTAACACTTCTCTCCCCCATTTTTTCCCAAAAAGATCTAAATGGGAACAAAGTTTTTATAAAATCTGGATACGCTGTTTATACGGCAAAATTTAAATATCTAGTTGAAGACTTGATTTTGAACAGAACTCGCTGTCCAATGTGAACATTGTACCTAAATTGTTTGGGTTGATGGAAAAACATGTCTATGGCGAACGCGCACACTTAAAGCTTTTCCTAGACGCAGGCTCTCCCGGTCAATGATTTCCCTTTCATTACATTCCTATCTTTATATCATTTTTTTCCCTTTTATCTTTATTTTTTATAAATTGATTATTATCATTGCCATAAGTTTCATCATAAACGCGACCGACCCCCTACTTCCTTTCAAGAAAAGACAACGGGAAAACAAAACATTACATAACAATGGTTTTGTGTTTCTCTGCCGCTACTACAGCGTCGTTGTTTGCTAAATGAACACTTGGATTAGGCCTGAAATTTTGTCGATATCGGAGCTGTCCAAAGATCCAACCGATCGCCAACGCTACATGACTAATTGAAAACACAGGAGGAAAGATTATTTCAGGGAATGTCAAGGAAAGATACATTATTTACCACTGTGGTTGAGTTGGAAACGGAAAAGGTCGAAGAGCATTTTCTATCAAAGAATTTTAAGTCGATGACAAATCTGTCAGTCATGACTGTTGAATGACTGCAACTTCCCTACCGATCCTTTCTGAGGCGTCACATACCCACCACGGAAATTCCTTATTCGGCAAGGGTCTGGTCGACATCGTCATTTCCGCAACAATTTTTTAATTATTTCAGTTTTCATTAAAGTGAATATTTGTGCATTTAATTATTAAATTAGTTTCCTTACTTAAATTTGCTTTTCTGAAAGTTTCTTTTCCATCGATTTCTGAAACTTCCATTTATGTATGTATATAAAAATTCGAAATTTGTAGACCGCATTGAGTTCAGAGGCTAGTAAATTGTCCTCAGTCGGAAATTGGTTTCTCTACAAATATCGTTCCGGTTTGCATAATAACTCTGTTCTCACAATACATGGCACAACATAATTTGTCATCACTATCTTTGAATTTACATTTTTATTTTAAGGCATTATTGTTGCGATGGCGTTAGCATCCTTAATGATTGAGGAGAAAATATTTCTAGAAATTATTTCATGTGGCATGTAATTTTCTCACTTGTAAACGACACTTTCCCAATAAATGGAAACAAAAAAATGCAGAATTATCTCGAATCGTGTCATCGTTTTTGCGTGTTCACCCGCTCACGTAAAAGGAAAGTGAAAAAATCTTTAGTGTCTGGGAAAGACGTCTGTTTGCCCAAAAATAGGGATTAGGTGGATCTATCGAAACGTCAACATGCGACGTCATGATCACGTGATAACAAATAACGCGCCCAGCCTAAATTCCCTACGATCCGAACGTTGATTAGCAGTAAGCAACGATTGTTTGTACAAAGAATATCGAAACTCAGTTGGGTTTGAAGGTTTTTGGCTTCTCAAGACGATTTTTAACTTAGATATTTTATCATTTTGTTGGAAGGTGCCTTTTTGAAAGGTGAGACACGATAAATGTAAAGATTGTTGATTTGGATGCTAGCATAACAAGTTAGTTGCAAAGTCGTCTTCACAAATTTGTTGCTCGTTTGAGTGGAACGATCGTACAAATCAGAAGCTTATATTATAGATTTTGGTAACATGTTGTGGATCAGTTTGTTTTTCGTTATCTTCTCTTGGCCATCGATTGATAGGAGTGCCGTGAGATAAATTCGTGAGTTAGTTATTCCCGATTTAGCTTTAAATTTGGCCGATTTGCGTTTCGAACAACTATGCTGCTGTGAAACTAGAGGTTTCAAAATCGGGAAGGATTACCATTAGGGAGACAGAATCGCAATTTTTTTTTTTAATAAATGACCAAGTTTCAAGTTACATCGTAAGCTGCCCTTGTTGATAACTTATACGAAGAATATTTTTCTAGTGTGAAATTGGAACGCAGATATACTTCCAAAGCCTACTATTGAAATTACCAACGTGGGTATGAGTCATGCACTTGGAACACTCGATCAAGATACGACATCTCTTTTCTAAATGCGATTTCTTCGCTTGGTAGACATAAAAAGTAATTGTGGTGGATTTTGATGGCGGTGCTGCAATTGAACGTTTTCCAGCAGAGGTTAAATTTCGCTTTAATTTTCCAAATTCAAATGTAGTCATCGAGTTTGTGTTTTCGTGCCTCGAACAATTGCCAACGTTCGTCTTAAGTGCATTGACAGATGTCGGATGTGAATGATTTGATCAAGTAACCATGGCTGAATGGTAGCTGACTGTTTTGGTACTGTCGATTTCGATTTTATTCGTGCATTAACGTTCTTTAGCGTCTTTTCATTATCTACATGTAGTGCTTGCTGGATTTCACTTTCGTTGTCGAACATAATATTTTTTTTTTAATTTACTTTTGAATGTGACTTGGGTGCTTCCATTGTGTACTAAAGTACAATGTATTGTACTTCTCGGGCAGCTTTTCAGTGAAAATGTAACGAAATGTTGTCGGCAATTTGTCCGGATCACTTTGCGTGTCTCTGAGCATATTTTTGTTAACTAAACGTGACAGTGAGGCCTCCTGCTGTCTTCGTACTTACATTGTTGTTTTGAATATTGCAACGCATTTAACCACCGGCTGACCTCCGGAAAACACTGTTACACTTCAAAGGACGAAGGAAACATTCGAGTGTTCTTGCGCCTTCCTTACTCGACTCTTAATACAGGTCAAGAAACCCAATCACCAAATCATAATGCCGGTTTTGGTTCGACTGTTGCAGTGAAGATACCACCTGGTTATTTTCTTATGTGGATTGGATGTATCTTCTTTCCCTTTTGAACTTCAGTCAACCGGATCGGATAGTTTATGAAACAGCAAGGAACTGATTTCTCCATGATATCATTCTCTGCCTCTGGATTAAGTGCACATATTTATTTAAGTGTACAAATCTACATATATATGACAGCTCAACGTTAAGGTGAACGTTGTTTTTTCTTGTAGGCACAAGTCATCAATTCTCCACAATGCGGTGTTTGGGTTTATTACTTTGGATTTTTAGCATCGCAACTCTGGCAAATGGTAATTTTTGTTGATTTTAATAAATTTGCAACTGATAAAGGAACTTAATTTTTTATTTTGTGTGGATTACAGCCTGTACCTTTCACTTTTTTACTCTACTTTACCAAAATAGGTGTCAATTATCGTTAGGAGTTTCGTAGACCAATTCTAATGGCTAAATCTCTTATGTGCCAGTTATCAAATAGTGCTACAAATGGAACATAGTCTAGAGTAGGGTAATTTGGTATTATCAACTGAGTTGTTAATATAAATTGGCTACTGTAAAGAGTTTTAAAGCTGACATTTTGAGTGTTAACCCCTGGTCATTTACTCTGATGAAGGGCTAGTTACACTCGAAGCTCCAGCTTTAAAACTCTTTACAGGGGCCAATTTACATTATCAACTCAGTTGATGACACTAAGTTACCCTGTTATACTCTCCCACCAACACAGCACCATAGTTTCTTTAGAAACTTATCTCCTTTATTTGGTGTTTTGAATAGTTGGGTTCAGTCACACCTTGTGGGGACTGGGCTGAGTGGTCTGGCTCATTGAGACTGCAGATGATTAAAAAAAAAAAAAAAAACATTAATGGACATAGATAAATCTGAAAGATAATGTGTACCATTTAATCAATGTTATGCAAGTAAAAATACATTCTCGTATCATTTTGTGTAAACTGCTAACATTGAAATGCATTGAGTAGTTACAGTACTTGTAGGAATAAAACTTGTTCAGAATTGTGTTTCATTACATGTGGTTTGATTGATGGAAAAAGAGTTGTTATGAATCTTGTATGTGACTAAGTGATATTCATAAAGAAAGCACCAAAGATGCAAGTCTGGATAATAAAAAAAAATTAGGGAATCATGGTCTGGATAAGCAAGGTTTGATTGTACAATTTATGGAAATAGTTTTGTTTAGCTCTCACAGCATGGTGGCTCTTGCTTTTTAACCCTTAAACTCCCAGAAGTGATTAACATGTAACTTCTCCCTATAATAATCATACATTATCCAGCAAACAGGTAATGAGAATACTCAGAAAATGTGATCCTGATCTAACACCAAATTCTTTCAAGTAACATATAAGGAACTGTGTAACAGCGAGAGGGGGGAGTTGACAATCAGATCTTGGGAGTTTAAGGGTTTAGCAATACCGAGATGACAAGGACTTTTGTGAGGAAACAGAGAGAAAAAGTTTGCCATTCGTGGTGGCTTTGAAATGGTATTTGACTGAGATAACTTTTTGGTATTGATTCAATGGATACTCATTGTGGGTGCTTTTGGGATTTCAGGTCAAAGTGTATCGCAGCCACAATCTGCCCCCCCCAGAATTGTAAATTTCTTGACAGGGAATTTGCTCAAGCCAGAAGACGTCAAGTTTGGCAAAGAATTTAATGCTGCTAAGAACTGGGGCTTCAGACTCCCATGTGATGCACAGGGTGCCAACAAATTAGAATGGAGATGGCAGCAGAATGGAACTGATATAACTTTTCCTAGTGGCCAATATAAGCTTAACGATGATGGTTCATTGACTGGAAGTTTCCTTACAGCTGTAAATAGTGGGAATTACCAGTGTTTTGTTAAGGACCGTACAGCCAACAAAGAAACATTCAGTAGAAAGGTGCAAGTAGCAGTAACATGTAAGTGACAACCATTTGCTATTGATCAGGTGCTGTAATTAAATTTCAGTCTCAGATGAGTGACAGGGCAAAACTTCTAATCAAAAAAGATACACAGAGGAAGGGGGCTGAGGAAATATTTTGATGAGGCATACATGTAAGCATCTGATTAGGGTCCTGACCATAATTTTTTGTCAAGCTGACAAATGGTTACATGAACTCTCCTGAATAGTGCTGTTGTAACATACAATTTTGTACTGCTGCCATAATTTGTCAATTTTTTGCATGAAAATATTTAAAGCAGGAGTAGAAACCCTCTGATCAGAATTTGGGAAAGTTTGTGGCAGCTGGTATCAGATTTAAAACTGAAAATGATTGATATTTTAAGACTCACATTTTCCCTCATATCATGCAGTTTTCCTGCTGTTTCTTGGAGTTCTTATGTCGACCTTTGCTCTGATTGAATACTATGTTTGCTTTGGTTCTTGTTTTTCAAAAATCAAGCCTATTTTTTTTTTTGGTTCCTCATCACCACACAGAAATTGTTGAGAAAAGTGACATATTCTTGAACAAGTGTGAATGTGTACTCAAATGTTCAGCTCTACACGTACTTTGTGGAGTTGTTTGACAGTTAATGATAGGACTCTTCCTTTCCTTTAGATGTTGATGATTTTGCTAATAAAGACCCCATCCCGTTGAGCGTGACTCTTGGAGATCCTTTGAAAATTGATTGCCCGCCACATGGTGGAAGTTATGGTGCTTCATATACCTGGGCAAATAAAGACAACATTCAGCTTAACAGAGATGAACATATAGCGATAACCCCAGTTGGTACACTGCATATCATGTTTCTAACTCAAGCTGATGTGGACAAAATCGCAGAATTAAAGGGAATTGCTTGTACCATTGTTGCAGCAAATTCTATCTTCGAATCTGGCCTTGTGACTTTGAATCCTCAAGGTGAAAATTGTTATTAAAATATTAACGTCTTCCTAATTTTTTGTTTTAATGTTCTCTATGCTCTACTGGCATGTGCAGAGCTCAGCTTACTAATCATAGCTTACTAGCTTACTTATACATATTGCCATCTCGTCTTTAAAATTCTATGTATACTTACAGGCTCAGATAAATATTTTTAAAAAAGCAGCAATCCAAAAAAATACTGTACAGGTGTGAGATCAAACTCAGAAGCACCACAAACTGACAGAGTATAGCATAATAATATTAGGTAGAACTAGACTAAGTGTTTCATGAAGGAGGTCAATTTCTGATTATACTCCTCCTTCGATGGAGAACTAAAAAATTTTTCATGTGCATAATGGGAATGAACATGATAAATGTTAAGCCTGGTGATTTATGTGAATGAGATTGGCATGTTTGGAGAAAAAAAGATGCAATGGCCTAGCCCACCTTGAGTGTCCTGTAATACAGTGGTAAAGCAATCAAAAGTACTAATCTAAAGTCATAGCACACTGAGTTCCATTTTTCTGAGTAATTATTCCTGAGTCATTCACTGAATACATCACTAAGTTAATATTATCATTGTCATTATCATTCTTGTCATTATTTTTATCACCAATTCTGTCGGCATATATTGTAGTTTTAGAGTCGATCATTATTGTTTGTAGTTTTATTCATTTCTTTTATGAATAGGGAAGTGATCTTCACAGTAATAAAGCAGTGAAAGCAATATATTTTTGTCAGGCCTTATTTTCACTTCAGTAACTGCTTAATATGTAGTGTTAATTTCTGCCAAGATGGATTTCACATTCATTTCTTTATCCGTGATTCATGCTTATGATTTTTTTATATCTACAGTCATTTATTTCTCTTACGTTTGATATTTAGCTGGATCTGTGCAAGAAAAAGCACCTTCCTGGGAATCATCTTCATTGTCAAAAAGTTCAGAGATAGCTGTTGAGGGAAGAAACAAGACCCTTTACTGTCTGGCCCTTGGAAGGTGATTTGTAGTTATTGATAGTTTTCTGAAAAAGATCTTTAAACTATTTCAATCCAATGGCTCTGATATCAATTGTTGCCAATTATTTTTTGTGATTTGCTCGCTTACATGTAGGTATGTAGAATGTGTTTTTTTTGTGTGATAGATTTGCAAATCACTTTCTGTACCTCAGGGTTAAAGGTATTTTTAACCCTTTAACTCCCACAAGTGACCAAGACAGAATTTCTCCTTACAATATCTATACAAAATCAACTAGATAAGTGATGAGAATGAAGAAAATTATCAATTTTGGGATAATTAGTTGATCCAATACTAAACTCTCTGAACTAACATTATAAGAATTGTATGGCTGACAGTAAGGAGAATTACAAACTTGGTCTGGGAGGTAAATAGTTAACTGCTCAGGTTTTTTTGCTGGTGAAGCTGGTGGTGCCATTGTGCAGCAGTAATTTGTGGATTTTTGTGTTCTTGGTGACATCTAGAGCTCTATAGTGTAATTTAAATGACTGGAATTACTTTTCCCACAGAGATCCATATTTTGTTCTGCCAAGATTGTCCACAATTTTTGTACTCTCCAAGGTGTAATCTTCAGATAACTTTTCCATACTGAATTTAACCTTTTAAATTTGAGCGATTGAACATGTAACTTCTCCCTTTAATAACCATACAATCTCCACTGAGTAGGTTATGAGAATACTCAAACATTTCTGGTAGAAGTTGTTGTCTTGATTGAACTTATTTTCACAGAAATATGTGAGAGCTAGAGAGTAGAATTAACAATCAGATGTTAGGTATCCAGTGAGTTGTTTCTGTCTTTCTAATAATCAATATTTTATCTTTGAAAACTTCAAGGCCTGCCCCAAAGATAACCTGGAAGAAAAATGGTCAGCAAATTATAAGTGGGGAAAATAACTACGACATTCCAGACCTGTTCTTTGGACGACAATTGACCATCATGGATGTAAAGAAAGACAAACACGAATCTCCGCAGTACTCATGTGAGGCAGAGAATAAAATGAACAGTGGGAATCCTTTGAAACACAACATAGAGCTGCAAGTTCAAGGTAAGCCTAATAATGCACTTGGAAAAAAAGTCCTATACTTGGGTAAATACTTCCAATTAGAGCCTGCTGTCACAAAGGTGTTTACCTACAGTAGCATCATCTAAGCGCATGCATTGACCAATGAGAGCTTGCATACTTTCTTCAATATTTTAAAAAGCTTTACAAGCTGTGACCATCTTCGTGGCAGTGTTAGGATGTCAAACAGTTTGCAACAAATTCTGCAGCAGAAGTCACAAATTTGCTGACCTGTATGTTTGATAATCGTGTCCATTTAGCAGTTTATGCTTCTTTTGTTATGTGTTGGTATGGTTTATTAATGTTGAGGTGAAGACCAAGAAATTTCTGTCAGTACTGTAAGCTAATGGAGAAATTTTTACTCTCTTTTTTCCTTTTTTTGGTTAGCCGCTCCACGTTGGCGTCTCAAAGCTCCTGCAGAGAAGTTAGAGGTGGATATTCAAGGAAATGGGACGTTGCTTTGTGATGTATATGCTGATCCTGTGCCATCTTTCTCATGGTATAAAGATGGAACAAGGATTGTGTCATCAAAGTAAGTAAAATGCTATCTGGGCTGGGAGCTTTTATACTCGAGCATGCACTGTATAGAGGAGGAGCCTTTCCTACATATGTACATGTAGAGTTCTTGTACACTGTGATGATTCAGCTAGTGCATCTGTTCCTATAGGTGCCCCCTTTATGGAATGAGGGGTCATGGATTGAATTTTTGGTCCTTTATAAGTGCCCCCTGTTCTAATAGGTGCCCCTATTAAGCAAGCACCTTCATTCCAATAGGAACCCCTTTTCCAATAAGCACCCCTATTGTGTTTCATAGATAACACTGTTAGAGTACCCTACCATTATGGTGTGAATACTCACTGTATATTTGTTAATCTTAAAGTTTCTGCTTCTGTTGCTTTTTAATTAAACATCAAAGCTTTGTTTCACACATTGTTTTGTTTCTTCCAAAAAAAAGGAACAAGTATCTTGTCCTTAATAAGTGCTCTGTTTCAAATAAGCCCCATATGGTACACATTTGTGAGGTGCACATGTACAATGTACCTCAAGAAAATGAGGGCCCTGGGCACTAGATTGAATCAACATAGTATACCAATTCATCTAAATTACCTGATCCAGACAGGATGTTACTGAAATAATTTGTAGGACTGCATTAAAGTTTTGTGTGCATTGTAGCTCAATCATTCAGACCAAAGTGAATTCTCTTAAAGAGGGAAAATTAATTTTTAAGGAAATTTCTCCAAAATTAAAAATTGATTTAAAATTTAAAGTCTCCTAAATTACCTGACTTAGACAGGAGGGTACAGAAAGTTACATTTTTAATGGATGCTTTTATTTTTATAGTTTTATTTGATTATGATTCATTGCGTCCAAGTTAGTGACTTCCTTTTGTGGGGGAAGAGTTAGAGTTTAGAACTGTAGTCACAACCGTGCATCATTCATCAGTGTTGTGAAGAATTTTTCCCTTCCCTGGCAAACAAAAATGCTTACCTTGTAACATGAACATTTTGGGTAAAACTTAATTTTTTTTTGTTCTTTGGTTTGTTGGTTTTTTTTTTTTTTTTTTTTTTTTTTTTTTAGTGCAAATTTGCAGTTTGGGTAACATTTCTGCTTGGCTCCAGTTTCTGGACTTTTCTCATTTGTGGACTGACCGAGTATAGAAGTGATGAGATTATTTGAAAAAAGTTAACTCACATCTTATCTTGAATTCCACAGTACTAATGTCAAAATAGAAAATGACAAGTTGAGGATTGAAAATGCTCGAATGCAGGAAGATGGTGTTTACCAGTGTGTTGCAGAAAACGTCCATGGTATGATTGTGTCATCTACTTGGATTTATATCCGCGGTGAGTAGCTTATTGTCCTGACTCTTTTGGATACATTTTGAAAGATGCTGACAAGGAGAATATGTTTCAGTTCAGTGATCATTTCCTTTATTCTCATGACCTTAACAGGGCGTGAAATTGCGCCTAATACAAGCGCCAATGCGACTAAATTTTTCACTTTGGCGACCAAATCCTGAAAGTTAGTCGCCAAATTGGCGACTAGAACGTTTCATCATAACCTTACCAAGAGATATAGTGAATTTAAAAAGTTTGAAAAGATAAATCCGCGGCAAACTTCCTCGTTAAGTTTGTTTCCAAAACGTAGCACATGCATCTCGATCGATAACTAGACGCCATCTTGGATTTAGATGAGCCTGAACGTTGTATATCATCCATCCAAGTATCCACTTTGTAGCACGTCAAAGATCTTTTCCCTAACTTAATTTTGGAGGGTCTATCTAGAACGCTGACAGCGTAAAGAAAGATTTTGTTTGTCTTTGAAAATGGCGACCAACTTTTTTTGAATTGGCTACCACTTTGAAGAATTTAGGAGCCAAGTGGCTATCAGAAAAAAAAAGTTAATTTCACACCTTGCTTAATGCGTGATTCATGGGTGATATTGTAAGGAGAAATTAGATGCTAATCATCCAGGGATCAAAGCGTTGATAGCCTCTTAAAATTTTCTGTCCGTCTTCTTACCGTAAGATAATTTTAAAAAATCAGTTTGTTTTATTTTCAGAATTTTACTACCATAGAGCGAACGGTTCGTATTAGAGGACTGTATCGTATGCTTCGACTGTAAACCAATCTGTTTGTATCATTTCTAAACCAAGTTACTCAAACTCCTTTTTGGGTCTTATAACCTTTTACACCCTAACATCAATCTATAGGTTCTCCATACTGTTTTCTTGACATTTCCTAAGGTGCTGACAAGGAGAATTTGTTTAACAATCAAAAGCTTTAGTCGGCGATCATTTCATTCATTCCCATGACTTACATGAGTGATTCAGGGTGAAATTAGATGTTACTCACGCGTAGGGTACAAAGGGTTTTCGAAATGAAATTTATACATTTAAATGATTGTGATTTTCAATGTTTTTTCAGCTAAAAAACCAACGTTTGACCCAACTAGTGGTCCGTTTTACCTGTTCAAGAATAGTCAAGGCGTTCTTAAATGCGAACCCGAAGCAGCACCTCCTCCAACCTTCGAGTGGTACAGGAAGGGTTCGAAGATTGAAACAGGCGAGCGCTACACAGTTCAGAAGGATGGCGTCTTGTTGATCAATGATGTTACTGACGATGATGCGGGCGATTATCGTTGTGTAGCCGAGAACTTCTTGGATAAGGCTGAATATAATGGAGTAGCGACTGTTTATGGTAAGAAAAACAGTATACTACACAGTGCCGTAGGACCGCTCTCGATTATCGCCCCACGAATTACACGTGCACCAAGCCGTGTTTTCGTGGGAATTGTGCGCGCTTTCATTTGCGTGTAGGGGAGTGGTACGCGTTTGGTGACTGAATTACATACAAATGTAGTCAATCAATCCTTAATTCCAATGAGGGCTGTAAGAAGCCTTTCTATACTCGAACAGGAAGGAAAAAGGGTTTTTTTTTGGTTTAAGGAAGAATTTTAAGGAAGTTTGAAGGGGAAGTTTGGAAAGGGGTATTTGCGGCAACCTTGACGCCAACAGCCTGTAATCATTAAACGCGGAAAATATAGCCCATTTTCATTTTGCGCAAAGGAAGAATTGAAGCAATTTTAGTTCTGTTGATCTAACCTCGTCAATCCTAAGATCTCAATGATAATTCTCCTTACAGTATGCCATACAATTTTTATGATGTTAGTTTTAAGAATTTGGTATTGGATCAACTCGTAATCCCCCAATTGACATTTTTCTTTATTCTCATCACGTGTCTGCTTGATGTTGTATCGGTATTGTGAGGAGAAGTTATGTGTTGGTCACTCATGGGAGTTAAAGGGTTAATCTGTTATTTTCTTTACTACAGAAAGAACAAGAATTACAGTTCGACCGGAGGACAAGATTGTTCCGGAACGCGTCAATATCGACCTTCGTTGCCGCGCAGAGTTTGATAAAAGACTGGAACTAAAGTACTACTGGAAGAGAGATGATGCAATTATTAAATTCAACTCCAAGATAGAATGGCTGGAAGGAGAAAACGTTTTAAAAATCTCCGATATAAGTGTTGACGATGCTGGCGTTTATACCTGTGTCGCTTACACACCTGAACCTAAGAAGTCGGAAGACCAGGCGTCAGCCATAGTTAACATTAAAGGTTTGTTCTTATTAATGCATCGATCAATTCTAAGCTTCAACTTCCCCCCTCCCCCGGCCGAGCATTCTAACTTCTGAATAAAGATTCGTCAGATTTCCGCCATGCAAGAATGAGATCTTTTCCTGTTAAATAGTTAAGGCGTTTCTCGAAGTTTGCACGATCCCCAGAACAAATTCTGAACATGGAATCAATTCACTCATCGAAACACGTCTCTGGTACATGAAACTCAGTTATGCATTTAGTTGCACTCTAAAGTGGGAGCTGTTTCAATTTTCTTTGTGGCATTTCAATTCTTTTAGTATTTTTGTTGGTGGCACCTGTGGTACTGGTAGCCAGCTAAGAAAGGCAGAACAATCGACGGTTTTTGCGGGCCACTGATTGGTCAATTTAGCGGGCTTATTTCGTTGTATGGCCCGCTGAATTGGTTTGGTTTTTTTTAATGATTTTTTTTTAATTGAATTAAATTGATTTTTTTAATCTGAAAATTTCCCCATCTGTTTGAACCAGTTAATGTAGTAGATATCTTTCAAACATATTGTGCCGAGCGGGAAAAAACTCAGTCCGTAACTACTAGAACAGACCTCGAACTCGGTCGACAAGAGGTTTCTATTTGCAGATCTGGAATCAGCCAATTTACGCTATCAACTCAGTTGATAACACTAAATTACCCTGTTATACTCTCCCGCCGAAGCAGCACCACAGTTTCTTTAGAAACTTACCCTCCTTTACTCATTTTATTTTTCCTTCAGGAGTTCCATTTCCTCCAACCAACCTCGAAATAAATGAGGAAACGTGCATCAATCGGACAACAGTACTCAAATGGACAACCAGCGCTTCAAATGATGCTCCCATTCTACACTTCCTGATTGAACAGGAATCGAATCATGAACCAGATGTGTTCATTTTCCTCCACAATGTAACAAATCCTAATGCAACATCTGTCGTGCTTAACCTTACTGGCTGGTCGACCTTGCGCTTCCGCATGCGAGCTGTGAACAGCTTTGGCCCAAGTCGCCCTAGTTTACCCACAGGGGCTGGAATTTGTAGAACATCTCAGTCAGGTGTGTTTGTGTTTCTGTGTGCGAACGCAGCAGTCAAACGTAGGGCATGCGCGAGGGGATCAATTTTGGGCGTCTGGGCGCCAATTTTCCGTGTTAAGTTTCTAAGTACAACATACCAAGCCACAACTGCTGTTTCGCTAGATAGAAATCTGTAAAAGGAAACGGAAGTAGAGAAAAAGGAAAACTCTAGAATTTTCAAACAAAAACCGCTTATTCAAATACGGGTATTCTGTTAATTAACCATTCTGTTTTGAGCTTCACCAAAAAAGGTTTTATGCTTCACATACATCGTGATTTGATGGCTTGTGTGGTTGTTTGTACAGGATTTTGCACAATATCAATAATTTAATGACCTACTACATCAGCATCCTGTGTTGAAAATGTCAATTTTTTCTTTAACATTAAGTTCAAACTATTATGTACTTAACTAAATAACTTTGCATTCGAACAAGTTAAGTGTTCTCTTCTCTCTTGCTTTTGTACCCTTTACATCCTAACATTAGTATGCAAAATCTCCATAATCTTCTCTATACATTTCCCAAGGTGCCGACAGGGAGAATATGTTTAACAATCAAGAGCTTCTTTAGTTGGTGATCATTTCCTTTATTCTCGGATTCGGGGATGATGTGCGGAGAAATTAGGAGCTAATCACTCTCAGGGGTTAAAAGGTTAAGCACAGGTTTTATCTGGCGTCTGACCGCTGTGTAGATGCTCCTCAAGGCGCATATGCTCCCTTTTAGCTTGTGCTTCGTGTGACTTTCGTCTAGAGTGCGATTAATGGTGCAGAGGTACTGTAGATAATTATGCAGCACCTTGAATTAGGCAAGAAAGAAAAATAAATAGATATTGATCCATGTCTGCTTTCCTTACAGCTCCAGAGAAATTCCCAGAGAACTTGCGTGGAGTACCAAAGAGGGCCGGTGAACTTGATATTGCTTGGACGGTAAGTACCTTTTGATTGGCCGAATCTCACTACGTGACCTGAAAATAATTGCTTATAGATGATGTTTTGCCCATACGCTTCGGGGTTTTCTAGAAGTGTGAGGGTCCAACTCGCTGTAGCTCATACAATTTCGAACTGGCAAGTGGACAAGTTTTTTGTCAGGCCACCGACAAATTTTGTATCGCACAAGAAGCGCAATTGGTCGCACCAAAAGATTACTGGTAAATTTCTCTTTGGACCAAGAAATTGCTGCTTTGTAAATTCCTTCAATGGTATTCCAATAATTGCACAATTTTTCACGAGTATTTTTAACATTAAAGTAGGCGGCTAAAATGTGAAGACTAACCGGTGTTTTTGGACGGATATATTGATTTCAATTGAGTGTAGAAAGTATTCCTAGATTGCTTCAATATTTGCTCTACTTAGCACCATGATTGGTCACCAGAAAGCGCAACAAAATATTCGCGTCATAGACACTTTAAAGGTGTATTGACAGTTATGATTACTTTGTTCTAGTTTTACGACATTCAATCGAAAAGTTATACATTTTAGAGCTTGCACCGTTTTCATCTGAACTGAAATAGTAGTCAGTATTTGTAAGAAATCATTTTAAATTGACAGCCTATGCCGAAGGTCTATTGGAACGGTCCTGGGTTTTACTATATATTGGAGTACAAAAAAGTCGTAGAACCGGCGAATGAAGATTCTCCTGATCAATGGAAAAACGTCAGACTGCCTGATCAAGCTTCAACCTTTAAAGTCGACAATCCTGGGTACTATGAGCTTTGGGAGTTTAGAATTCGCGCCGGAAACAACTTGGGCCCAGGACCCTTCAGCGCCATCGAACGATCGCGTTCTGGCCAAGATCCACCTGAGGGACAACCAAAGAACGTAGCGGTGCAGATTGTACAGGCACGCAGTGCGAAGCTTTCATGGGAGCCTGTTGCTGCCCCGTCCAGAGGAAGTGTCGATGGATATAGGGTAAGGGACTTAAAACACTTAAATCCCAAGATCTAATAGTTAATTCTGTCCTCAAGCTGCTACCATATCCTTAAAAATTAGTTACGAGAATTTGGTGTTGGATCATGATGACAACCTTGCCTGAAACGAACCCGATAATTTCTGAAGTGGAAAGAATAAAAGATATTTTAACAATCTTTAAACAGATTCACATTCCGTAGATTTACTTAAATGTTGAATGAAACTTGATTGTATCGACTCGAAACTCCACCCTCGATTGTTAAGAAGTTCGAGAATCGAAATTTAAGTTGCGAGGTTCGATTTTCGTTGACTGTGAAAAAGTTAATCGCGCGTCAAGTTCTATGTATCTCGATTCGATAATATTTCAAATACCTCCAAACATTTTTAAACTTTACCTAAGCTTCGATAATCATAGTTTCGAGGAACATGAATTCATGATCCATTGGGTCTCAAGTCTTGAGCGTTGATTCTCGAGTCTCGAGGAACTTTTAACTAACATCTGAGCAGCACTGCAGTTCCTCTGATAATCTCTGGAGGTTTCTTTCTTATCTTTTCTCGTGTTAAAAATTTGCAGATTTTTTACTGGGGCACAAGCCTCCTGGCAAATGCAAGGAGAAGGAGACGAGCCATTCCAAGCTATGCGAACTCTACTGATGTCAAGGGGCGAACAACTTCTGAAACGACAGTTTTCGACCTGAAACCCTACACCTCGTACACAATGGCAATCAAAGCTTTTAACAGCGGAGGGGAGGGCCCAGCGAGTGATGAAATAGAACTTGCAACACTGCAGGATGGTATGGTTAAACAAACTTGCGATAGTTTAATTTGTTTTGTTTAACTGGAATTTGGAATGAGGAACTAGAGCTAGGGAATTTTTATCCCGGCTCACGGGATAATTGCTCCCCTTTTGCGTTGTTTTTAATGCACCCATCTCCATTACTAAAAACTCATTTTTCACTTCTGTTGAAACTTGACCTCCGCAGTTCCTGGACGCCCGGCAGATGTGAAAGTGTTCGCATTTGCGTTGTATATCCTGATCACGTGGAAACCACCTACAGAACCTAATGGAATCATTACAAATTACCAAGCGGGATCTGCTAAGTACACTGGTTCAGAGCCTAAGGATACTCCAGTGGAGATGACACAGCTAGCAGCGTCGAAGAGGAGGCACCTTATTGGACAACAAGAAGAACTGACAAACTATGTTGTCGAAATACGAGCCAAGACCGAACCGGGTTACGGTGAAAGTGTAAGAATAGCCACAAGAACAGTCAAAATTTCTCGTAAGTCACGACAAATTTGGAAAATCTTTTTGATTACAGTGACCCATAAGTAAAGTAGACACCCACGGAAGCTGAAAAAGAGTGTGCGTTAGTAGGACTGACTACTTACGGGAATGATTTATATGAGGGTAGATGTCCACTTACGGGAGTGTTTTATGTTGGACTCTTGTTAATGTCAAACGAACGGAAAGCTTGCGCTCCTGCAGACAGATGGAGATTTGACAAAACCGACTCCCACTGCTCTTTTGCTCTGTCAAAGTCAAATTTTTGTTGATTTGCAAATTCAAGACCACCTAACCGTCCAGAGTCATTTAATAACCGTTGGATGTCCGCTTACGAGAGAACATGATCAAAAGAAAAATCAAATTTTCAATTTGAAAAGTGTTCGCGTCCGCTTACGAGAGAATGTCCACTTACGGGAATGTGTAAATACAGAGTTTGACTGAGGAGCAAAAAATGGGAATTGAAAAAAGTGTCCGTAGTAGAACTGCCCGCTTACGAGAGTGTTCTTCATGGAAGAGTTGACTTCACTTGCACGATGATGATAAAATTAATCTTATTTCTTATTTTTCATTCACAGCACCGGCCAAACACAATGCTCCCACGGTTGAACCAACAGGAATCGACAAAGTCAGGGTTATTTGCGAGATCGCTGTTGGTGGAGGATATACACATGAATTCCTGGTTCAGTACCAACAGAAATGTAAGTTGCATCCTTGCATCAGTATGCATATCTTTACACATTATTTAGGTTTCTCTCTAGGAGAATTTGCTTAACTATCGAAGCGGTAACGCTTAAAAATTTACGTTTAAATTTACGTTTCAACACAGCCGCTAGAACCAGAGTATCTTGTAATGATACACCGCCAACGCAGCGCCACAGTTTGTTTAGAAAGTAGCCCCCGTTTTTACAGGAGTAATAAACTGATTTGAAGATAGAAATAAGAGAGATGGTAAGTTTTGAGCTCGGTAAAGAAATAGAGAAAGATTGTCCCACACTCGTGACAAGACGAAAAAAAACATCTTTCTCTTTAAGCTGATTTGTTTATTTGTCTCTCTTTTTGTTAGTGGAGGGTGAAGAGTTTGTGAACTCATCTTGGATTGATTACTTGGGTGGCGACTTGGATCTGGAGATTGGTAATCTGGAGTCTGCCTTGTACCAGTTTAGGACCATCGGCAGAAATGATCAGGGAGAAAGTCCGCCGAGTGACATCACTGAAGCCAGACCCATCCCGGGAATTGTGGGTAAGTGCTATACATACTTAGTATGAGACTTGGGCACCGGCGGAATGTCAGAGAAATCTGACACAGTGCCGCGTGGGGGGGGAAGGTTAACTTGTGATGTTGGGGAAGTAGAAATGCTCGTATTCGAAACTGGGATTAGTTCCAGTCTCTAAGCTCGAGTAGTTTTGACCTAACTTCTGCTATGATAAGGAGTTTTTGACCATATATCACGAGAGAGAGAGAGACAAAGAAGAAAGAAAAAAAGAGAGAAAAACAGGAAAAATTAGTTGCCCCCCCTAAGGGCTGAAAACTCAACCACTTCCTATTTCGCGGTGAGATTAGCTTGTGTAGCCGACGTTTTTGTATATCCTTTGAAGTGTTGAACCGTGACGAAGTCGCAAGAGGTTTGGGACGGAGAATACAGGTTTTTCTCCTCGAACCTTTGTTGCCTGAAAGTTGCGTGTGCCCATAAAACTTATCGACAGTTATACGTTGTTTCTTCGGGGACCCCTATCATCTCCTTCACCCCCTCTTCTCCCCCCCCCTCCGATCCCCGGCTAAGAAGAAGGAAACAACCGGCAGTTCCGAGTGCTTTGATTCTGACGTTTTCTTTCTTTCTCACAACAGCTGGCAAGAGAGCAACTACTCCTATACACAAGAGCGCTTGGTTTATTGCCTTGTTGGTTCTTATCGCCATTCTCCTCATTGTGCTGCTTATATTTGTCCTTTACACCCGTCGCCGTGGATCAAAATACCCGGGTAAGACAATAATGGTAATTGAAGTTAGGGGAGTCTGACATCATGTTCTATTGAAGGCGAAAATACTCAGCTCCTTTTTCGTTGATGCTGAAATGGACAACATTGAAAACAAACTTGATTGTGTCTTAAACACCAGATACTCATGCAAAGCCTTAATTTGTTTTATTTCTCTTAAGTTGGTAAACGCGAGAAGAAACGAGCCGCTCATCTCATCGACCGGGAATCATTCGATGAAGAAGAAGGTCCTTACCAACACCAAGGGTAAGCGCATGCCAGGAATAATATATATTTTTGCCTACGTATGAACAACTTCAAAGACTTACAGGAAAGAAGTTCTCATTTTCTATTTTAAATGAACTTCAATTACTTAAGAGTAACACTGACAAAGATCTTGCGCGCAATTGTATTTAATAGAACGACATTTTGACGTGTTTCTCTCTTTGGAATCGTCAGCTGCTTTGTACAAAGCTTCATTTTTTGCAATTTAAGTGTGTAGGTCTTAATATTGGTTTGTACCGCGAACACATCTACAGCGCATGCGCTTATCTGTTCGGTGGTCATCTTTCCTAATAGATTAAAGGGTTTACTTGATCGGTTTTCCCTCAGTTATCCACATAGTTTTTAGGGAAAGAGAGGGACCTTGAGGATTAAAGGTCCAGAGCTCGAGTCCAAAGCGGTTAGCAGTAGGTCAGCGGGTTTTCGATTTGATTTCGCTTAGATGGGTTACCAAGAAGTGGAATTTTTAAATCTGTGCTGAATAATGAATGACTTCTCTTGTCTTTTTAGGGATGAAAATCCCCCACCCTACCAGAGTCAGGGCTCATTGGATAAACGGGATAGTGACCGGGATAGCCTGGACGACTACGGCGAGGGACCACAGTTCAACGAAGATGGGTCCTTTATTGAGGAATATGGCGACGAGAAAAAACCACCAGCGGACGAGAAAGACCAGTCTGCATTTGCGACATTCGTTTGAGGACATTTCTGTAGTGTACCCGTGTTGTTTGGTGATCCCAAAAAGTAAGCTGGGTACAGTTTGTCAATCATGATCTTTGAAAGCTTAAGACCGCTGACTCAGTAGTCAAAGAAAACGCTTAGTTAAAAGGACGAATTGTGGCTCGTCCTCAATCGTAAATGGCTGTTCTGATAGAAGACATTCAACCAGTCTTAGGGTAACTACTAATGCGACGGCGATTCTTAGCACCCTCTTTTTTTGTAGAAGATGTTTTAGATGACGTAACCCTTTAACTCCCAAACTCTGATCGTTAATTCTCTCCTTTAGCTTCCAAAAAATTTCCTTTTAAATTAGTTACGAGAATTTAATGTTAGATCAAGATAAAAACTTCTACCTGATAAATATTCTCATTACCTGTTTTCTTGACAATGTATGGATATTATAGGGAGATGTTGCTTGTTAATAATTTTTGGGAGTTTAAGGGTTAAACGTCTCAGGTGTGAAAACAGTCAGAGCCATTAACGGAATATTTGGCGACTTTAAACTTATCAATTTTGTTGTTTTCAATGAATTTGAGTTTCTAAAACGAATTGTTAAAAAATCAGTGTTGTTAGGTACAGTTTCAAATTAACTCCAGAAAGCTCTCTGAGAAAAGAAATTAGTGGCGATACGTGGCAGTACGTCGCAAACTGAATGCTTATCATTTGCTTGTAAGCAGAACATAACTGCCAAAGAGGCTGTATGTTATTACCGTAATTAAGTGTTCTAATAAGAGCTATTAGAAGTTCGACCTCGTTTGAGGACGGTAAATGAATATTCGAATCGTATTTTATTTTGCTTTAAGTTTCTAAGATGCGCTCAAGGTGTGTCAAAGAACAACGGGCAACCGTGAAATGACGCGAAGGAAAAGCTGTGTTAGCCCGTCCATCGTATCTAGACTGCATTTGTTTCAGTTCTTTTTTGCGAATCGCCGGTCGCCAGTCTAATAGCAGGAAAAACAGGAAGAGGTGTTTCTTCCAAGAGAAGTCCAGCTAAGTTAAAGTTCTGTTCAATTTGTTTTCACACGTTGTTAAGAAGCAGCAGGCAAAAGTCAGCATATTTATTCTAAATATTGAAAGTGATAGAGTGTAAATTGAAGCCAGAATTCCTAGTTAGTCGTACTGTCGAATGCTCTGTATATTGTTAAGTCAGTTGTAAAGAAGTTAGGTTGATCTTGGACTGTAATTTTGTTTGTTTCGGCGACACATTTGAGGGGCTTCGTTTCAATTATTTTTCTTGGTAGGGTGGCGGTTTATATTCATTTTTTTTTTTTATCCATTCAATGCGTACCCTTTGCGATTAAAAAAAAGTACCTTCTTGTAAAGTTTGATTTTTTCCTTTTTAATCACGACGAAGCAATGTATGATGGAAAATCACAGTGTTTTTATACTGATCAACCTGCACGTCATGAATTTCTTATTTCCTTTTGGAGCGTGTCTTGGTTTCACTCAACTTGGTAGTATCCAGCAGAGTTGATAGATAACATTAAAGAAGTGTCATTTCATTTCACCGCCATCTACCAGTGTACGTTAGACCATTGTGATAAAGTTACATATCTTGTGGTTTGATAAATAACCTAATATTGTCGTTTATTTCTGATCCTCAATTTTAAGTTGCGGTTCTTCTATTATTTTTGAGTTTTTACGATGTCATCGAGCAGGTTTCACCGGAAAGTAGCAGTATTCTAAGAATGTATTTCCCGTCCCAGTCAACCCTCACCTACTCCTCCCCCAGGCTTTATTACGTTCCCGTCAAGGAAAAACGTTTTTGAAATAAAAAAACACCCCATCCTCCCGTTGTCGAAAAGTTGCTGTTACTTGAAGGAGTTCATACTCTGGTTATTTAATAAGGGATGTAAATGTTCTTTTAAAAAAGTGTAGCTGTTGTTTTATAGAAATAAAGTTGTTTGAGCTTGTAGCCTGTTCGCTCTTCTTTTGCTGAGAAGCTTATGGTGTATCAGTTTTACAATCTGAAGCTCTGCAGTATTTTTGGAGCACAGATCTGATTACAACTCTTCCTTCGTGTTGTAACACATTATCTTTTCAATTAGCAAGGAGTATTCGATGTCATGTCAAGTTAAAACCCTAAGCTTTCCGCAGATGATGAGTTAGTCTCTTCTCATCACCCGATCGCTTGGCAAAGCATCGATACTATCAAGAGAAATTAACACATTTGTCACTTTTAGAAGTTAAACTGAAATACTGAAACGGAAGACAGGATATTTTGGAATTCATCTTTATTAACTAAGCGTTACGGCATTTTTTATTCATGGAAAATTAACCAAAGTAACATGTTCTTTTATCAATTTTAAATAAAGCAATAATAGCAGATAAACTTACGACTAATTTAAAGGCTCATTATATAAGGCAAGCAGATAAATTTGAGAATCTAACTCCTACGGCCATTAGCTAATATATATTTGAAAGCAGAAATCCTTAACTCTAAGCGCTTAGATTTTAGCAAATCTTTAGTAACTGAAAGCAGCGGTGTACAACCGACAGCCAATTTTAATTCTGGAAGCACAGAACCTTGTCAGCAGAAACTACAGCCTGCATCTATCACTATCCAATATCTCTTGGTGGTATTAAATCATTCTTTACCACAGAAGTTTTACAGGGAATCTTCAAGACTTGGCAAAATAGGACTATGCTAAAATTGTTAAAAATCGTAAGTAAACCATTTACTGTAACAATTTCTTACACTAAATTTCCTTAAAAAAAACACGAGTAAATTAAATAACTAACTCCTGTATCAAAACATAGGACAGTTGTGTCCCTTCACTGTGTGTTAAATTTCCTACAAGTTGTCAACTGGGAGACTGAATGCTATACTAGTTCATATTTTTAGCCAATCACAAATGGCAAAAAAAGTAAGTCGAACCAATCGGAAAGCGAGAGGCAGTAGAGATATAGCGCGGGAAAATTAGCGCCAGCGAAACAACATTTAGTTTAGTCTTACACCTGATTGGCTGAGATGAAAAATAATTCACACTTCTTCGCGGATGCTCACTTTGTTCCCGCGAACACGAAAGTTGAAGCTGACTTGAGCCTGCCAAATCTACTTCTTTCGTGCAGTGAAAATAGAAAGAAAGAAAAAATCAAATCGACCAATCCTGGCGACACCACTTTCCCAATAATGGTGTCATTCTACTTAGAGGAATGCTACCAAACTTGAAATAAATCAGTTTTAAAACTAAGACAAGCAGTTAGTGATAACTGTCTAACAATATGGGAAGAAAACCTTTTTTCTGAAACAATTTCCTCTCAAACAAACAACCGAGCCCGCAGTGCCTGTTGGAGAGTTTGAACTCCCAAAACATAAGATAAGAAAAATTGACAGAGTTTCTGACTCTTCGAGTGCAAACAGGTTTGATTTTCTCTATAAAGGAACATGATGTTCTACGACTAAACACTTTTTCAAGTTTCGCTTGTAAACTTATAATCGTCAAAAAATAAAATAAAATCTCAAAAGCAGTGAGTAGTTTTTTATCGAGTCCAACGGTTTGAGAGGCTAGCGTGGTTTTTCTTCACCCCTCGCATAGCATTGTGAATCAAAAGTAACGAAATATCTATCACTTCCAACTCTGAGTTTAAACTCTCTCAACTTGCAACGGTGCTAAACGGTTGCAAATTTAATTTTTAAATTATTCTGCATGTTAACACTCAAAAGACTCAGTAGAGGGAAATCTAAGACTTCTCAGTGTTACACAGCTGGATCTTGAACTTCTTCATGCGGAGTATCGCTTTTCTTCGCGTCAAATTCACCCACGAAGGAGCCATCTTCTGAAAAATATGCTCCTCCTCCGCCATATTCATCCAAGCTGTCGTGGCTTTCGCTGTCAGCTTCGTCCACACGTTCAAGTCTTGTTCTCCAGTCCTCGCGCGGTTTAAAGTCGATGGGTTTTGGATTTTCTTGATTGGCTTCCTTCTCTTTATCGGACTCTGTCAATAACAAAAACACGCTCAGTAGAGGATCATCTCTGGCATACTTTCGCTGTTATTTTATTTCTAGATTCATTTGATAAGCGAAATTACATACGCTCATTGATTAGTTTTTACTTACGATCTCAGTCATGGTATTGCAGGACAGAAAGATGACGTCACCATTGCCGTCATTCTACTATTTTAACCAACAGAGTCTGTTACCTTGGGACTGCACAGTTATAGACCACAAAAAGACATCTGCGCCTCGTATGCATTTTGTTTGTACTTATCACATATTGAAGTCATCCGTGATCTATTACTAAACAACGCATAACAACAAGGAATCTGTTTGCTAAGTTGAGGCAGCGTGAATGATCATTTCAAGGCGCTACACTCCTCCATTGCACCGCTCAATTGGATTTGCCTTTCCCAGTAGTCTTCAACTTTGTAAGTAATTGATTCAATTGCCTTCCATCAACTAGGATTTCTTGACATTTTGTTCTTTAATTAATTAAATTGCTTTTTTGTTTACACATTTTCCTCAAATAGAAGATGAGTGCTAGATAAATCGCCACTCAAAAACAATTTTTTGTCCCATCACTTTTTTTTTCTTTTGAACAACAACGCCGTAATCATTCGACACCAATCAGCTTAATTGTAACGAAAAATGAGAAATGTTCTAGGCTGAAATTCTTAACTGAGTGTAAAAGGTCTTTAACACATTACTAGCGCAAAAAGTTATCCTAATTCTACTGTGAAGGTCAAATAACTGCCTCCAATTATCCTTTCGAGAATTCAAAATCAAAAAATTATTGGGGAAAGACTTTCCTTGAAATTATGAAAGTGACAACAGTTGGAACATTAGTTCTCATGTTAAGCCCTTATGAATTTTGTAAGACAAGGTTAGGGTTTCTTATAAGAAGACCTTACCATGTAAATTTTCGCTACGCCTCTTCCGGCATTGTTTGACCACAACGACAATTACAATAAGAAGAACAACAATAGCTCCGATGATAACGACTGTGATGAACCAATCGGAATTATAAGTGGATGGACTTTTCACCTCAGCTGCAATTGAGAGAGAACTTAAACGTTTAATGAGTTGAACACGGGAGTAACATTTGATTGTGTACTCTGATCGTACTGGTGAGGGAAGCCCTGAGAGGGACTGTTGTCAGAAGTGGTGACTGACGTTTGGAAACCCTTAGCGGTAATCATCATCACAGTCGATTGAGGTTTGGGGAGAGATTAGCACAATTTTCCATTTTTTTTCACTCCCCTTTCAAACAAACCGACTTCACGTGTGTCCAACAAGAACTCAAAGGAGAGTATCGAGAGCGGCTTTAACCCTTCACTCACTCCCAAGGGGGATTAACAAGTGAATTCTTCTCGCAATATCACCACACTGACGGGAGGACAGTTGATGAGATGAAAGAAAAATATAAACTAAGGAAAACTGTTTGTCTTTGGACCAAATTCTCACAAATAACATTATGAGAAATATATGGTAAATAGTAAGGAGAATCACTGGGAAGATCTTATGAGAGAAAGAGCGAGAGAGAGAAAGAGGGATACGCCCAACAATGAAATCATAACATGAATTCTCACCAACGACTTTTGTCTCTGCGTTCTCCAGGTCCGCAAACGTGAGGTCGCTTTCTGCACTCATCCCAACTTTGTTTCTAGCCACAGTCTTGAATTCATACTTGTCTGGTTTCAGATCGTCGATCACAGTCCATCTCCTTTCGGAATGATCTACCCAAGCTGTCTCCTGATATGTCTCCCCTTCTGCTTAAAAAAAAAAGACAGTTATCAGACCTTCAGACGCCTCCGAGACGAAATCAGTTTTCGGACATATTTTTAGTTCTACATTTTAGGGAAGGGGAACTGGGAAACTATCTAGGAAAATTTTTTTTCACCTTCGAGGTGTGTTTTTTCACCCCCAAAAAACCATAGTATAGTAAAAGCCTCTTGCTGGATTTTTTTCCAACCCCTGAATAAGGATAACATGGACAACTACTTAAAAAGAGTTTCAACCCTTTACCTCCCAAGAGTGACTGAAAGGGAATTTCTCCTTACAATCTCAACACAATATCAAGCATAGAAGTGATGAGAATAAAGAAAAATATCAATAAGGGATTATTAGTTGATCCAATATCAAATTCTCCAAATTGAAATCCTAAGAATTGTATGGCAGACAGTAAGGAGAATTACTGATGAGATCTTGGGAGTTAAAGGGTTAAGGAAGTAGTAAGAAAAAGATTGTGGAGAGTTTAAAATTTAGAGCAGGCTGATCACAGCCCAATGATTTTCAGCTGAGAGGGAAGAGGGTATAAAGTAATACGATTATATCAAAAAAAGCATTTCGTTTACCTTCTTTTCTGTACAAAACTTGGAACTCGAGTGTCCAGCCTCCTCCGACAGCAAAGTTGTAGGTAACATTAAACGCGTTTTTGCCTGGTATCTGTTTAACGGTGGGCTTCAGCGGTTTGGCAGGAGCTGAAAACGTAAGGAGGCAAAGTTAAGTAAATCATTTAGTTTGATCTCCCAGGTGAGGGTAGTTTAAAAAAAAAGAACTATTTCCGGCGACAGTTGGTGGCGTTCGAAAACCTTCGCGAAAGCCATCTTTAGTCAATCTGAGGAGTTGTTTGTCAATCGAATTAAAAAACGATAGAGCGGTTTTGCCTTTGTTGTATTAGCTGCAATACCCAATAGTCCTTTGTACGGTTGCATGCTTGGTTGCCAAGCCTTTGAACAGGAGTGAGGCTAAGTTTGACCTGGTTATGATACATACCTTCCTACTTTTCAAACGCAAATTACTTTGTTATCATGCCAACTAAATACTGGTCTCTATCACAACCAGGTCACCTTCAGCCTCACTCCAAATCAAAGGCTTGGCAACTAAGTACACAACAGTAAAATGGCCTATTGGCTGTGACTAGTCGGTTTTGATAGGCATTTTCTTAGCTTATGGGAAACAAATCAACGAAACAAACCAACCAAACAATCGACAAATAAACAAAGAATGAACAGAAAGAAGACTAACGAGTTTTACACACATCGATCTTGAGCATGAAATTATTATTACCATAAATTCTTTTATGTCCTTTTGAGTCTTGAAGGTATATATCTAATAATGAATTTTTGGCCACACAGATAAAACACGACAGTCAGGTTTTGAACTTCAGTGTCGGAAAGTTATGGTGAGATGCCACAAATTTTCATCCTTCGTTTCAAGCCTCGTTCATCAATTATAAAGAGGGTAAGTTTCTGCGTCGGTGGAGAGTATAACAGAGTAATTTAGTATTATCAACTGAGTTGATAACGTAAATTGGCCATTGTGAAGAGTTTCAAAGCTGACGTTTCGAGCGTTAGCCTTTCGTCAGAGCGAATCAGGGCTAGCGCTCGAAACGTCAGCTTTGAAACTCTTTACGATGGCCAGTTTACGTTAATAACTCAGTTGATAATACTAAATTACTCAGATTCATCACTGTTAAGTTTTCCCACCTGATTTCTTTACAGTTGTTGTATTCCTCCTTAAACCGCGGCCCCATCCTTTACTAGTTTTGGCTTGTACCTCCACTACATAGCTTGTTTCAGATTTTTTGTTTTTCAACAATATTGTGCGCAAAGTAACTTCTACTTCTTCCATAGAAAGAACAACACTTTCAGGCGAGGAGCCGTCGTACTCAGCCCACCCCACACGGTAGCCGCTGATAATTCCATTTGGCTCCTGGGGCGGTGTCCACCTGATCCGGAGGACCTCACCGAATGCATCAATGAATACGTCTGATGGCGGACCAGGTTCTGACATTGACAGAAAGAATTAGAATAACATTAGCATAAATTACCTGAGTAGACAGAAATAATTAGAATAATATTAGCATAAATTACAAAGGTAGACAGACATAATTAGAATAACATTAGCATAAATTACATGAGTAGAACACATCACTCTCAAGACTATTTCGACAAGCCGGGGATCAAATTAGCCGTACATGGCCTAAATTTACTTTTCACTTTTCCATGGGCCGAGAGAGAAGAGAACGAAACAGACATCGCAAAATCTTACTAAAGGTACTCGAAAGAACACAGGATCTGCGTCGCCGTTTACGCTTATGGAGCTTGCTTTAATGAACATTCTTTTTCGCCATTAGTTACGAGCATGAAACGAAAAATGTTTTCCTCACTTATTACTCCAGTGATAACTGGAGAAAATGAGATATCATTTCTTTCTCCTCCATAGACAAATGAAGATCTCGCTGCGACAATTTGGAGAATTTGTGTTGAAGTATCGCGAGCAATTCCCTCGAGGTAATTGTAGTAAAATAGTACAACAGCACCATTCACACAGCGAAGCAAAAGCAAAAGCAAAAGCAAAAGCAAAAGCAAAACCAAAGCAACAACGGATCACTTTCAATGCTAAACCGACAAATTCTCCGGAAGTCAGCACTCTCTTACCACTCTCCGAAGTTTCAAAGTTAATTATGGGACTTTCTGGTCCTTCACCGCCAGAGTTAAAAGCCTTTACAGCAGCACTATAAGCTGAGAATGGTTTAAGTCCAGTAATTGTAGCCTGTGTGTTGCTGCCCCCTATGACCTCGAATTTTTCGGCTGTACTAGGAACGGCTCGTCTTTTTCTCCTTGAGATGACGGAGAGAGGTTCACCCCAGTAATAAATCTAAAATATTAGATAATGGAATATTATTAGACCCAGTTTTACTTGTCGAACTTTAAATGTACTCGAACATATCGGCCAACTCAATTAGGAATTGATTAAGTTTGGCAAATCTAATTTTTGGTCGACCCTAGGAATTAAAAGTGCTTCACGTGGGTGGTTCCAATGAGGGGCGAATTCAATTCCAAAGTTGGACTTATCACCTGTTGCAACCTGCTATTGAGGACTCTCGCTAATACAGAAGAGTTAGCTGTTAACCCTTTACATCCCAACATAGGTATAAATATTCTCCATACTGCTCTGTATGTATTTCCTGCGGGACTGACACGATGAATTTGTTAAACCGGAAAGAATTTCTTTTGTTTGTGATCATTTTCAACATTCTCATGACCTTATTGTTTGATTCAGAGGTGTTATTGTAAGGAGAAATTAGATGCTGGTCACTCTAAAGAGTCAAATGTTTATGCTCTACTGGAATATACTTCTTTACACCATCACTTACCCTGTATCCGTCGACACTTCCTCTTTTCACGGTGACAGGTTCCCAGCTCAAAGTCACTGAATCGTCAGACACCGTTCCCACTTCAGAACTTTCTGGTTTTACAACTGGGGCATTTTGACCGGAGTGCGCCTTTTTCACAGAGCTGGCAGGTCCAGATCCCTCGTTATTACCCGCGCGTATTGTGAATTCCCATAGTTGATAGTAACCAGGATTAGACAAATCAAACATGTTTACTCCAGGGTCGGCGATTTTCTCATCTCTCCATTCAGAAATCCGTCCATTCACTCTTCTGTATTGTATGACGTAATAAAAACCCTGGGCGTTCCATTTGTCTTTTGGCATAGGCTGATGGTAAGAAACGGCAGTAAGATACATGTGTATTGAGATTGACCTGCTGAGTGAGAGACTGCTGACCAAACTGACTGCTTGACAGACTGATCAACTGACTGAGTGACTAGCAGACTTGGACATCAACCATCTCACTGACTGACTGACTGACTGATTAGCTAACTGACTGACTGACTGATTGACGGACTGATGGACTAACTGACTGACTGACCGATTGATTGACTAACTGACTGACTGACTTACTGACTAAATGACAGAATGACTTACTTACTGACTAAGTTGCTGACTGACTAACTGATTGACTGACTGAATGACTGACTGACTGACTGAATGAATGACTGACTGACTGCCTAATAGATGACTGACTGACTGAATGACTGACTAAAAAACATCGAAAACACACCTACAACATGCCATGCAACATTAATAGGAACATCTTGTCGAATTACTATACTTACGTCCCAATAAATGACCAGCTCATTTGCATTTCCAGCTACTCCTCTTAAATTATCTGGGGAAGTCTCTGGTGCTATTAATTCAGAATAAATAAATTTCAACAAGTTGTTATCATCAACCCTTAATATGAAAAGCAATACAAAGTAACAAAGGTTCTGAAATTAGAACTGTCTCGTGAAAAAGCACAAATGACAGTTGTTCTTTTTTGTGATGCCAAGACGGAACAGGCAGGTTACCTAATCGTTTGTCCCAGCTCTTACCATGGCCGGCTTTAAGATTGGGAATTCTGGAAAACAGTTGGAAATCTGAAATGATCTTTACAAGGGCAGGAGATTTAGCACTAAAGTATTTAGGGTGTGGTGAGATGGTCAAGGCAGTGCATACAGGCCGTTTCTCGAGCGACATAAGCCGTTTCTCATAAGCGACAAAGCTGTCACCAGCATCGATACTCTGCTTACTATTACAACGCTTACATTTCCACTAAATCTTACCGCTCTGCGCTTCAGGTAATTAACGACTCCTAATATGACTCCAACGATAGTGAAAACCAACCTTACGTTCATTGAAAACATACCTACGGAGGGTGTTTCACAAGCCCCTTTCGCAGTTGACAGACTGGGGCGGCCTGCTCCAAAGTCGTTGACTGCCCTTACACGGAAACGTAGATTGGTCCAGCCAGGGAGGCGTAATTGAAAAGATGTAACGTTAGGGTCAGCGACATTATGTTTGAGTTTGAAGACGTTTGGGTTGTGATTCGATTCTTGATAAATCAGATATTGAGTGATAGGGGCGTTGTTTGAGGCCACAGGAGTCCATGATAGAATGGGTGCCCTGTCATAGCAATCAGTTATCTGAAGATTTTCCGGAGGAGGTGGAACACCTGTGAGGAAAAACAAATAATTATTCGATAAATTAAAAAGTAAATAGAGCGTATCAACTTATAATTATCCAACCGTCAACTACCTTCAATCTAAACATCGTGTTTTGGCGGCAGGATCTAACTTTGTTGTACAATCAATCGCCGTCTTTTCTCACGGGCTTATAAAAAAAAAAAGGAGAAAGAACGAGGTTTCCGATTTGCCGCTGTATTTGGGAAAACTCTGCTATTAAGATGAAGACAGAAAAGACTGGGAAAGAATGGTAACTCAAGCAAAGCAAGAATATCTGAAATGAAAATTATTTTTTGTACTAATCCTGCCATATTTCCCTTGAATATTTGCTGACATATACCTTTTTTATACACCTGGCTCCGGCTGTTCGAAGTGTGGATAACGCTATCCACTAAATACATCTATATCCGGTGGACAGCGCAAAACATTTTGCTAACATTTATCCACCCACCCCCCCTCCCCCCCACTTACAGATTCGTAAGATTTCCCTTACAGTTTGTCAATACGCATTCCTATCCACATGGGCGGGGGGAGAGAGAGAGTCTCTCTGATGGTAAAGTTTCCTGCCCAAGAACGCGACACAAATGACACTGCTTGGCCTGGATCCGAAACTTTGCAATTCGGGATCCAATCCACCGCGTTTTCTAAACCAACAAAAACAATAAATCAAATCATGAAAAGTACCTATGATGGAAACAATGGCGGAGACGCTGTCTTCTGATCTCTTGGGTTCTGGTGTGAATGCTACACACGTGTAAATACCAGCCTCATCAACAGAGATGTTTGAGATCCTCAACACATTTTCTGGCTTTGAGCTAATAACTTCAATGCCGTCTTTTTTCCAAATATATCTCAACTCCAAAGAAGGATCCGCAGTCGCGTTGCATTTTAATTCCACGTTTGTACCCTGACTGACTGTCTGGGTTTGTGGAGGTCCCATAAAGATCTTCGTCCTCTCTGTCACAAAGCACGAAAAAAAATTAATACATCTATGAGCCGGTTGATAAACACCTGTTTTAAAAACAAGGATCGTCGCAGCTAGAACACAACTTATAAAAATGGTTGTAAAAATAACAGACGGCTGTGCACAAGGTGAGTTCGACATACACACTTCAAGGATGCGTACACTTAGCAGAACGAATTACAACCATAGTGTTAAACTGCGGAAATCAGGAAATCAATGGAGGACAGATCCTCGCACCCATTAATATAAGTTGCCAGCTTTGCCTTACCAAGCAAAATTCCTCGAGCTGTTACATTTGCTTTCCCCAAGAAGTTTTCAGCCATACAGGTGTACTTCCCAGCGTTGCCATTTTCCACTTTGTCTATAATCAAGGTCCCGTTTGCTTGAAGTCTGTAGTTTGCGTTCTGTCCGTAACTAATTGCTACACCATCCTTAAACCACTTCACTGTTGGCTGCGGTTCCCCTGCAGGCTTGCAAGGTAACCGAGCCTGGCTGTCCTTAAACAGGTAAACCGGAGGGACCAGCTCGGGGAAATATGGCTTCTGAACTGAAAGTGTAAAAAGAAATAATTCATGTTTTGGGGGTGTGTGACCCGTAAGAACCTGTTCACGTAATTCTTTCGAAAATCATAATGAAAAACACCACGTAAAAGACTGGGCGGGTTGCGTAACGATTTCTATTTACTTAGGCCTGCCAATTTGATGGCAGAGGTCATTAGGAAAATATATATATATTTTTGAAAACAGTTTATCACACATCTTACCATCCACGGCAATGTTTATCGAGGATTGTGTTCCATTTCCTGCGCGGTTGACGGGCACACAAGAATACCGACCGCTTCTTTGTAGCTGAACTTCATAAATACCACTAATGTTGCTTCCAAGCAACAATTGGTCGCGGTAAAAATTATACACTTCCACAGTTGGACGTGATTCCGCGGTACAGGTGAACTTCACAGAGCTGCCAAATTTGACACGATCGGAGACGTCTGGAGTCATTGTTAGACGGGTCTTTTCTGGTTTAACTGGAATAAAGCGAGCACAAGATTTGAAGGACGCTTGTCACACACCAAACTATAATTTTCTGAAGCATCTCAGTATCCCAGAATCTTTAATCCTTGTATTTGATTGGCTAATCACCCGCTTATAATTGGTCCAGATTTTTACAATACGGACAACCGTTCGGATTTTTTTCAGCGTCATTCAAGGCAAAGCAGAAAATATAAACCAATTGTGTGTCTCTCTCTACTGTTCTACCACAGTGTTAAAGAAAATTTGATAGCGTGCAAGGCCATTGCGTGCAAGGTATTTAGTAGGCAGTCGGTCCGTCTCAGATAAAAACTGTGGCCTTGGTCTCGAGTAGAGCCTTCGTTCTTCAGCCGCGGGCGGTACTCAAGACCTCGGCCATACTTTTTCCTATACCGACCGACTTCCCGGTAAATATCTGGAACGTAATGGCCTCGCCCATTATCAAATTATCTTTAACACAGTGGTAGAAAATTAGGGAGAGACATACTCAGGACTGAGGGAAGATTGTTCGAGATTTCATAGGAAATATTTTCCCCTAATGAAATAGAGAATATTTTGTGTCTTTAAAAATATATTGATACAACGCTCTTCTACCGTACAATCAGGGAAAGATCTTAATTTGTTGTCTAAAGATGGTAAATGTAAGTATGCTCGATATAACTGCTAGTTTTGTCGCAACAAAACTAGCAAACAAGCGCACGCGCAAATAAAAAGTCACCAGGTCTTACAGTGTACTTCGAGATTTCCAATAGCTCTAACAGTCTCGTTAAAAATGTTTTCCGCTGAACACCAGTACTGTCCAGATTGATTCCTGTTGGCTGTAAATGTCAGAGTGTCTCCTGAAGCCACAACCATTCCATCTTTATACCATGTGAGATCTGGAGTTGGGTTCCCCGTGGCACTGCAAAGGAATGACGCGTCGTGGCCCTCGATGACAGAGTGGGACTTTGGAGTTACCACACAACTTGGTGGAACTAGAAAAAAAAGGTAAGCCACAAAAAGGAAAAAAAGATAGTTATCCTCAATACGATTCTTTCAGATCAATGTATGACCAGCATATTGTAAATATTGTCGGACTCCAAGCTCTTATACTTTTTGCTTAGTTAGCAATACAGAAGCTACAAGAAGGATTTTCGCTTTGGTTCTAATTCAAGGCTCGGTCAAAATATATTTCTTCAAATAGGCTAAGCCACGCTTTGAGAATTTTGGAAAATTAGGCTCGAATGTCTCACTTTGGCTATAAGAACTCAATAATAATCGTTTCATTCTAACAACGTTTCTTTTTGGGAGCTTTTCGATCGACTGTCGTAAACTCAAAGCTAAAGCAGTGACAACAACCAATCAGAATATACGGTAAATATCACAAGAAGAAAATGAACGCTAATAGTAAAGAGTTGAATGCCGCGTCTATTGCGGGAAAACACAACTGACTAAGTCGTGATTGGTTGTGGATTACTCCTAAAGCTCAAATGAAATGTTTTTTTTCTTTTTCAGCCTTGGAAACTGTAATTTAAGCTTCTCTGTACAGACCGCTACGAGTGACTAGCATCCAATTTTTCCATAAAATATCACTCCTGAAAAAGGTCACAAGAATTAAAGACACGATCACCAACTAAAGAAGCTCTTGATTGTTAAACAAATTCTCCTTGTCAGCACCTTGAGAAATGTATAGAGAACAGTATGGAGAATATGCATACAGATGCAAGGGTGTAAAGGGTTATAAAAAAATTCATTCCGCGAAAGATACATACATTGGACATCAAGCGAGGCACTTGTATTGACAGCGACATTCAGTCCATTCTCCACAGAACACCAATATGTTCCAGACTTAGTTCTGTTCGCTGAAAATTTGAATGTCTCTCCAAAAGCCACAGCCATCCCATCTTTAATCCACGTTATATTTGGTGTGGGGTTTCCCGTGGCAGTGCAATGGAGAGTGGTTTCATCTCCCTCCTTAACAGTTTGGTCGACTGGTTTTGAGGTAAAACTGGGGGGAACTGCAAAATATATATACATCGTTTTGTCCCTGCGGTCTTCGACAGTTAAATATAATCTTAACCGAAGCTTTTTTGTAATCATTGAATCTACTTAGCCTATGAAAAAGTTCCCTAGGACGAAAAAGAAAAAAAAAATGGTAAGCGCAAAAGAAGTAAGCAGAGAGTGGACTGGGCCCCGTTCTCGAATCAGTTCACGCCCGGCTCACACGGAACTCGTCACTCGGATCTTTCTCGCTTAGAATTTATTTTCGTCCCGGTACTAAAAGGGAAGCTGTGCGTAAGTGAAGCCCGAAAAATAATTACGATTAAAAAGCGAAAAAGGTCGTACCCTCATTTTAGGGCATACAAGCATTACGCGAAAACTGGCCGCGACTCGTCTGGGGTACAAATCGCAGCGACAGTTTGCCATGTGAGACAGGCAAATTCACAATTCCTATATATGCAACAGAAGTGGATGCCATAAAAAGACGAACAAATTCAAGCTGGGTTCAACTTGTACATTTGATCCCAGCGATAAACCCACTTTAGCAGCTTGTTTCATCAAATCACTCACCTAGCGGTTGATAACAAAAGTAGTCACACTTACATTGTACATCAAGATTGACACTTGCGTTCACAGTCTTAAGATCATTCTTGGCCGAGCACCAATATTTTCCCGACTGATTTCTTGACGTTTCAAAGCTCAGTATGTTTCCCACTGCCACAGTCTTTCCATCTTTTATCCATACAATATCTGGCACAGGATTACCAATGGAATAACAGTTGAACGTGACTGTAGCACCCTCAACAACGGTCTGATCCGTTGGTCTTGTCGTCAGACTTGGCCCATCTGGTTAAGAACAACGAGAAAGAAAATTACACAGCGGTCAACGTCGGGCATGCGCAGAATGACCGCGCAAAATTTCATTGAAATAATATAAAACGAACGGAATCACGCGAAAAGTTACGAAAAACATGAAACTTTTCAACAAATCTGTGGACACAGAGGCAGGAACAAGGATAAAATTTTCCGTACCTGAAGCCTTCATGTAAGGATAATTTATCTAGTTTGGGATGTTCTGTTGATTCATCGTATTCATCTGAGCTATGCCAAAAAGTTATTTTATTGTTTTTTATCAACTATACGATACGTGCGCTGCCCTGTTAGTGCTTTCAACGTTAGAGAGGATATTGTATTGTATTTCAGAAACAGGAGAAAGTCTGTTATTTCACGGACATCTACGTGATCGATAGTTGTATCTTCGCTCCTTTCTACTTGCTAAATGACGTTAGCAAAACGTGGATGTTATTCTTACAATCACTTCTGTCGTCGTTGTTCTTTGAATGACTGAAATCTTCATCGAAGTTTTTTCATTATAAATATTTGCTTAAAACTTACAAAATACCTGTAATGTAGTTCGAAATTTTACCTCAAATGCAATTTTCATCTTTTCAATGGGAAAATATCAGGTTTTTTATCAATGTTCGCCGCACTTCTATGCAATTAACTGCCATATGACTTATACTCACACAACACATCAAGGTTAGCAGTTGCTTTGATTTCCATATCCAAACCATTATCCGCCAAACACATGTAAGGTCCTGAGTGATTCCTACTTGCTTCAAACGTTAGACTATCTCCAAAACCCACAGTGTTTTCACCTTTAACCCACTTTATATTCGGTGATGGATTACCATTTGCAGCGCAGTGGAAACGCACACTGTTGCCTTCAGTAACAGTTTTGTCTGCTGGCTTGGTTGTAAATTCTGGTGGAACTGTTGGGAATAATGTTGTTAGTGCGCCTTTCGCTCGCACGCAATATAACTCAAGATATAAATAATAAAGGAATACAAAATCAGTACTATAGGAATATAACGATTTATTCTAGTTGCATCTTTTGGGATGGAGAGTTAGTGCCATGACCAGATTTCTATACCGAACACTTAGCACAAGGAAGCTAGTCAAAATAAATGTGTGTGGCTCGCGCCAAACCCCCAGTCACCTGAACGTCAGTAAAGATACACAATTTCAAATCGTAAAATATTCGCAAAAAAGTGTTGCCGTGACATCCAATTTTCAATTTGTACAACTGGAATTGTGTACTTTCTTTTCATGAGGATCACTACCGCATTTTTTCCACAGAGGAAATTTGTCATTTCGGTCGCCATTTTGGGAAGGGTTTTATTGACATCGTCGTGAAACAGGAGGGGAGCATTAGGTTTAACACTCTATAAAGTGTACTCACATTGCACATCAAGATTTGCACTAGCAGTTGCATTAGGACTCAGTCCATTCTCTGCTAAACACCAATATTCCCCGGATTGATTCCTGTTCGTTTCAAAGCTCAGTGTGTCTCCTTGAGCAATAGCTACCCCATCCCTCATCCATGTAATCTTCGGGATTGGGTTTCCTGTAGCATTACAATAGAACGTTGCCTTGGTACCCTCAGTGACAGTCTTGTTGATAGGCTTTGTGGTAACAGTTGGTGGAACTATGAGAAAGAAACACGTAGAAATTCAGAACAATGATTAAGCTATTTAACTAATCACTTCTCCCCATGGGTTTACCAATTTACAATAATCGACTTTACATGAATACCAGGCAATTTAGCGATTCCAATCGCTCTGACGAAGGGCTAACGCTCGAAACGTCAGCCTTTACTTACGGTGGCTAATTTACGTTTCAACTCAGTTGTTAACACTAAATTACCCATTATACTCTCCCACCGACGCAGCACCACAGTTCTTTAGAACCTCACCCCCTTTACTTATATGAATACTGTTGCCTAAAATTATCATGCCATATCCACTAACATAGCCTCTGATATCCTTAGAAAAAGCAGTCTTCAACTAAGTTGATATGGCTTTGGCCTTATTTAGTCGACAAGGTTCTTTCCCAACTACATTCCTACAAAATGATATATTTTGCGAAAGAGATTTATGTGAAAATTAGTCAGGATGTAAGAAACTTCATTTATGATTATCGCAAGTTTCATGGTAAAAAGAAAAAAGTACTTAAAACTAACATACATAATTCTGAAATGCAGTCCGGAACTGCATTTAAAGCGCGTTTCTTTTCTGCGAAGTAAAAGTATCAGTGAAAGAAATTCCTCCAACTATACGGTAGCGTTAATGGCCGTCAATCCTACTTTCATTCAGATAATTGCAATATCTTTAGATACTCACACAACACATCAAGATAAGCACTTGTTTTGACTTCCTCGTCCAAACCATTCTCAGCCACACACAAATACGTTCCTGAGTGATTCCTACTTGCCTCAAACGTCAGTGTACCTCCCAACGCCAAAGTCGTTTCACCATTGACCCACTTTATTTCAGGTGCAGGGTCACCGTTTGCAGCGCAGTGAAAAGTGACTTTGTTGCCTTCAGTAACAGTTTGGTCAGCTGGCTTGCGGGTAAATTCTGGCGGAACTACAAGAAATGAAAAAGTTAGTGTGATTTTCGTTTGACTGTTGTTAAACTAAAGGCCAGGGATAAATATGACGGCAAATCAGAAGTAAGACAGAAACCACAGGAAACCACGAAAAAGCCAGAGTTATCAAATGCAGCCGAGCTCAAGCAGAGAAAAACGCACGTGATCAAGACGCGACTAGTTATATTTTTACTTGCGATTAGTTAGATTAGATTAGATCTGATTCGGTGAAATTTTACACGAAAATTGAATCTTATCAATGGTCAATACCTCACGTTGCCATTCACTTTTTGTAGGCATTTTTTAATTATGCACTTTCTTATCATGTGGATGGTTTTGTTTTTTCGTATTTACTCCTTCGGTAGCCCTTCAGGGTAAGCTACTACTGGTATATTCATGAAAAAAGTGGATAACAGTCTGTGTCAATGCATAAACGCCACTTACACTGCACATCAAGATTTGCACTAGCACTGGCATTCGGACTCATCCCATTCTCTACTAAACACCAATATTCTCCAGATTGATCCCTGTTTGTTTCAAAGCTTATTGTTTCTCCTTGAGCAACAGTCTCCCCATTCCTTATCCATGTAATCTCCGGAAGTGGATTTCCTGTGGCATTACAAAAGAACTTGACCATGGTACCCTCAGTGACAGTCTTGCTGACAGGCTCTGTGTCAATAACTGGTGAAACTTTAAAATAAAATAGAAAAGATTGCATCATTATTATTATCCTTTCTTTCCAGTTGTGCAGCAATGTACTGTGCTCAACTCCGGAAGCGTATTTCCGCCTTTGGGTCTGTCAATGTGTTACTCGAAAAAGCAGTTTGATGGCCATGTAAGACTCAATTTTCAAGAAACGTGTTCTGGCTTAGTCCCCATTTGATCCGAAAACTCTTCCACGACTTACTGTCAATGGTATGTTATGCTTCGCCAAGGCAATGCAAGTGAAATGTGGCTGACCCTTATATAAATAAAGCAGTTCGAAAAATAAGAAAAACCATACTTGCTTCCAATCTTTCATAATTCATAGTTTATCATAACTTTCCATTTTTTTTCCTATTTCAAAAGTTTGCCCTAAAACTTGCCATAATTGTCAAGCACTAAGACTCTGTATCAGCCCTTAACCCCTCTCTTATAACCACATGCAGTCTAGTCAGATTCAACTTGATTTTCCAAAACTTACACTGAACATCGAGCAAAGCACTAGCGTTGATAGTCAAACCAAGTTCGTTTCTCGCCATACACCAGTACTTTCCAGATCGATTCTTGCTTGATTCAAAGCTTAATTTGTCCCCCTGACCCACAACCTTCCCATCTTTCATCCATATCACCTTTGGAGGTGGGTTTCCAGTGGCACTACAATGAAATTCTGCCGTTTCACCTTCCCTGACAGTTTGGTCGCCTGGTGTAGTAGTGAGGCTCAGAGGATCTGAAAGGAATCATTACGCGTGACATGGAAAAACCAATCGAAAGCATTTTAGCATGTTCTACTCCTATAAGTGAAAAGCTCCTTTGTACATCACAAAAGCTGTTATACGTTTGCGTATGTGCGAAAGGCCAAAATGGTGATCGATCGAAATGGTTATAGAAAAATACGAAGTCAACAAAAATTGAAAAAAAGAAAAGCTTAAGACTTCGCGGAACAAAACATCCTCAATTACAAGTTTTCTTTAAATTCACAGGTAGCATGTGAATCAACTGAGGTGACGAGAGAGCGTTTTCAGTTGTCCTCCTCCACCATTTTCCTTCCGCACGAAATCATTAATTTTCACTGTTAAAGCAAGTTTTAGCTTCTCATACTTACAGTGAACATTAAGATAAGCACTTGCACTGGCAGATTTATCTACACCATTGTCAGCCGAACACAAGTATTTTCCAGATTGATTCCTGCTCGTTTCGAAGCTTAGCGTTTCTCCTGATCCCACAGTCTTCCCATTTTTCATCCATGTTATCTCTGGGGCTGGGTTCCCGGTGGCCTTGCAATGGAACGTTGCTGTTTCACCTTCGAAGATTGTCTTGTTCGTTGGTGCTTCGACAACACTTGGTGAAACTGCAACCGGACAAATAAGTTGTTATAAACTTGTGGATATCATAAACCATGTAAGAACAATCATCATGATTCCAAGCAACACAGCTCAACATCAAGAAGACCTGATAATCTAAGTAACTTCTGTTTGAATACACTTAGTCTTAAAGTACCACGGCACGGATACCTCAATAGCACTTTCTTGCAAAACCTTTCATGCCAAGTTAGGAAGTCTTAAAAGGTATCTTGCAGTCTTTTTAAAGGGATATCGAAGATATGTATCATTTACAACAGGATAAACCTGCCTCGATATTTTTCCTAGTTTGCTATATCCGGAATAATACGTCGGTTACTCTACGAAGTACCATGGCACAGATATTTCGCTGCTAAGATAGACCGGTGAAATTCTACTAGAGATCCCCGGCATCTCGTTAAATTGTCGTCGTAACGCGTTTCTTTCATATGCAATATTTATATGGGCGATATATCGGAAGAGCAAAGCACTTAACTCCAAGGACACAGTATGCGTCACATTTTCACAGTACTGCGTAATTTCTCAACTTACATTGCACATCAAGTTTGGCGCTGGTAACGATATTAAAACCCAATACATTATCAACTGAACACACGTATTCTCCTGATTGGTTCCTGTCAACTGATGTAAGCCGCAAGGTCTCTCCCAAGCCCACAGTCTTCCTATCCTTTATCCATGTAATTTCTGGAGCTGGGTTCCCACTAGCGCTACATTTGAATGTTGCTTCATCGCCTTCTTCGATGGTCTGATCCCCAGGAATTGATGTGAAACTCAGCGCATCTGTAAGATATAAGAAATGAAAAAATCATTACAAATAAAAAAGTGAGAGAGTTTAAACGTGTTTATTTCTGTCGATCTCCAGATCACAACCCTCAGAAATGTTACAAGTGCTGATAAAGCAGCAGCCAATTTAGACTGTGGACAGTCCCCCTCGAAACAAAACTATCGAGAATGAAACCAATTTTTATCCAATTCAACAGCTTGTTCCAGGCTCCCGATCGATGGAGACGAGCAAAACCTTTAGAAGAGAAACTATATGTGGAAGTTACCCTCGGCAGCTGTTAAAGGAAAAAGCAAATCCTTCCTTACCAAACTTCCGCTATTTCCTACCCTATGAAGCTGCTTTGTATGTTTAATTGATTTTTTATACAATTTTTTAAACAATTTTTTTTAAAACTAAACTAGTGCTAAGCTTCTTTAGGTAAAACCGTGGCCCTCAAATATTTTTCTCACCTTGCCCAAAAAAATTTTCAATTTTTTTTTACAATTACGCCTGTTCCTGTTCGTATGTCCGGCCAAGCCTTTATGGTCATTAGCTTCTGTATAGCCGCTTACTATGGCTTATAAATACAGGCGTTTATTGTTAACTTGTAAAACTCCCTGAACAAGTCTACGACAGTTCGACGAAACGCGTCGGGGAATAAAGAAGGTTTACAACTACTGTTCGCAGAGTGCTGCTCACTAGTTTAGTTTTAAAAAAATTACTTACATTGAACTTCGAGATGGGCACTGGCATTGACAACTACACGTAATCCATTCTCTGCTGAACACCAGTACTCTCCAGATTGATTCCTGTTCGCTTCAAAGCTCAGAGTTTCTCCTTCAGTCAGAATCTCCCCATCTTTCGACCAAGTTATCTTTGGAGATGGGTTTCCAGAGGCATTACAGAAAAATGATGTTTTGGTTCCTTCGATAACTGTCTGGTCAGCTGGTGTTGAGATCAAACTTGGTGCAACTAAATGAGAAATAAAGAAGGAACGAAATACACAATCACATCTTCCCAAAATACTTTCAATGCTAACAATATCCTGGCTTTAAAATTTAGGATTCAGGTCTCTGGGGGCTCCTCTCTCTAGCTTTTGGATTAGGTGTTTTGCCGTGTGGCACTCAAATCAAAAATCTTTAATAATTGATTGATGAAAATCGTAAAGTAATGGTTGGGATGAAAAGTTAACGCGACAAAAAGAATCAAAAGAACTCAAACATAGAATGAGTTTCCTATTTCCTGACTTAATTCCACGCATTTACAAAGACCCCAGTTAAGACAAGTTGTCTTTATATCCAAGACATTATCAAATACCAATTACAGATTCTTGTCGCCGTTTGGCGTCACATTTCATCGCAATTCTTAGCATAAAGCGTAGTTTGCTTCACTGATTTGTTTGCTCTTTTGGGCAAATTTCCAAAATGAAGTGTCACGTAAACTTACATTGTACATCAAGAGAGGCACTAGCAGTGATATTCACACCCAGTCCATTATCTGCTGAACATCGATATTCCCCAGACTGATTTCGTTTAGCAGTAAAACTCAGTTCATCTCCTTGAGCCACAGTCTTCCCATCTTTCATCCATGTTATCGTTGGAGGCGGGTTCCCAATAGCTGAGCAATGGAATCTTGCTTCATTATCTTCTTGCACAGTAAGATCGCTTGGTGTTGTTGTAAAACTTGGTGGAACTGCAAATTATATATGAAAAAAAGATTCGGCGGAGTCTGTCTGAATCGATAAGAGGGGTTAAGTTTCTAGAGAAACTGTGGTGCTGCGTCGGTGGGAGAGTTTAACAGGGTAATTTAGTGTTATCAGCTGAGTTGAAAACGTAAATTAGCCACCGTAAAGACTTTAAAGGCTGTCGTTTCGAGCGTTAGCTCTTTGTCAAAGCTTCTTCGTCCATCGCTCTGACGAAGGGCTAACGCTCGAAACTTCAGCCTTTAAAGTATTTACGGTGGCCAATTTACGTTTTCAACTCAGTTGATAACACTAAATTACTCTACCTGGATTGACTTTATAAAGGTGATGGGGATTCTAGAAATGACGTTGGAGTCAAGTTACATTCTTTTAATTTTTTTTACATTTAAGTTACTGCTGAATGGTTTCGCCTATGGGCCAAGTGATCGACCTCGATAAAGCTTATCCAGGTCTCCGCAGCACGAAGCTTAACAGTCTCTCTACCAGATGAAATGTTGGTCAACTGTGGGGTCACATTACGCAATTCGCCGGCACACACTGGTTTAAGAGTTCCTTGTTGACCAGTTCTTTCGCTGTGATTACTGTTTCTTGGGTCACTGGAACTAACCAATCTGATTATCGAACACAAGGGATGAAGACCATCTACACTACTCATCACCTTTGCTTACTTTTCTCGTTAGCACTGTTCGACTCCGTTGATTTTCGACAGAATTATTGTTCGTTTACTTCACTGTTATTTGTTTAATTTATTTCACTATAGTAGCGCTGCATCAAGCTATACTTACACTGAACATCAAGATGGGCACTGGCATTGACAGTCACACTTAATCCATTCTCTGCTGAACACCAGTACTCTCCAGATTGATTCCTGTTCGCTTCAAAGCTCAGAGTTTCTCCTTCAGTCAGAGTCTTACCATCTTTTGACCAAGTTATCTTTGGAGATGGGTTCCCGGAGGCATTGCAGAGGAATGTTACTTTGGTTCCCTCGATAACTATCTGATCATCTGGTGTTGTGATTAAACTTGGTTCAACTAAATAAAAAACAACAACTTTCAGCACTAAGTATGGTTTGCATCACTGACATGTTTAATCTTCATCCAAAATTGCCAAACGTTTTACGTCAACTTACACTGTACATCAAGTGAGGCACTAGCAGTGATATTTATACTCAGTCCATTATCTGCTGAACATCGATATTCCCCAGACTGATTTCGTTTGGCAGTAAACCTCAGCTCATCTCCTAGACCCACAGTCTTCCCATCTTTCATCCATGTAATCGTAGGAGTTGGGTTCCCAGTGGCAGTACAAAGAAATATTGCTTCACTATCTTCTCGAACAGTCAGATCGCTTGGTTTTGATGTAAAACTTGGTAGGACTGCAAATTTCACAAAATATATTCGAAGAAGTTCGGCCATCTGGTTTAACATTGTCATGACGATGAGGATTCGAGAAAAGAGGTAAGTGTAGCGAAACATTTTTTTAACTTTTAAAATATAGGGCAGTGCAAAGTGATTCCGTCCATGGGCAAAGTGATTAAACCCACTAAAGCTTATCGAGAAATCCACAGCATGAAGCGTTTAGCCTCCCCCCGGATGAAATACTATTCAACTGTAGGGTGCCCTTACATAATATGAATGCACACATTGATTAAGGAGTTACACGTTGTCACATGTATTTCGTTGCGATGACTGTTTCTTGGGTCACTGGAACTGACCAATCCGATTATCGAACACAAGGGATGAAGACCCTCTACACGACTTATCACCTTTGCTTGCTTCGGTCGTAAGCACTGTTCGACTCCGTACATTACCGACATAATTATTATTCGGTTACCTCACTGGCATTTTTTTTCTTTGTTTCAATGAACCCGGCAATAGTAGCGCAGCACCACATTATACTTACACTGAACATCAAAATGGGCACTGGCATTGACAGTCACACTTAATCCATTCTCTACTGAACACCAGTACTCTCCAGATTGATTCCTGTTCGCTTCAAAGCTCAGAGTTTCCCCTTCAGTCAGAGTCTTACCATCTTTTGACCAAGTTATCTTTGGAGATGGGTTCCCAGAGGCATTGCAGTGGAATGTTGCCTTGGTTCCCTCGATAACTGTCTGATCATCTGGTGTTGTGATTAACCTTGGTTCAACTAAATAAAAATAGGGGAATTTTTAGCATGAAGCATGGTTTGCATCACTGACATGTTTAATCTTTGTCCAAAATTAACAAACGTGTTACGTAAACTTACACTGTACATCAAGTGAGGCGCTTGCAGTGATATTTACACCCAGTCCATTATCTGCTGAACATCGATATTCCCCAGACTGATTTCGTTTGGCAGAAAACCTCAGCTCATCTCCTTGACCCAAAGTCTTCCCATCTTTCATCCATGTTATCGTAGGAGTTGGGTTTCCAGTGGCAGTGCAAAGAAATATTGCTTCACTATCTTCTCGAACAGTCAGATTGCTTGGTGTTGATGTAAAACTTGGTAGGACTGCAAATTTCATAAAATATATTCGAAGGAGCTCGGCCATTTGGTTTTATATTGTCAAGACGATGAGGATTCGTGGAACGAGGTTAATATCGCGTTACATTTTTTTTTAATTATTAAAATATACAGCAGTACAGAATGATCTCGCCTAATGGCACACCATGAAGCGTTTAGCCTCCCCCCCCCCCTGGATGAAGTACTAGAGAACTGTAAGGGACCCTTACGTAATTTCACTGTACACATTAATTTAGGAGTTACTTATTTCAAATGTTTTTCGTTGCCATTACTGTTTCCGGAGTCAATGGAACTGTCCAATCTGATTATCGAAAATAAGGGATGAATACCTCCTTTATTCTCCGTCACCTTTGCTTACTTTGTTCGTAAGCTCTGATTAAAACAAATGATTTTCGATGAATTATTATTTGTTTTTCTTCGTTGTTATTTGTTTTCTATTTTTCAGTGATCTCGGCAACAGTAGTGTCTCACCACGCTATACTTACATTGAACATCAAGATGAGCACTGGCATTGACAGTCACACTTAATCCATTCTCTGCTGAACACCAGTAATCTCCAGATTGATTCCTGTTTGCTTCAAAGCTTAGAGTTTCTCCCTCAGTCAGAATCTTACCATCTTTTGACCACGTTATCTTTGGAGATGGGTTCCCAGAGGCATTGCAGTGGAATGTTGCCTTAGTTCCCTCGATAACTGTCTGATCATCTGGTGTTGTGATTAAACTTGGTTCAACTGAATAAAAAAAGAGATAACAAAATGGGCAGTTATACCGTTAAGCAGTACTTTCAATTCCAATTCCTAACTTTATGATTTAGCATTTACACCTTCAAAGACTCATTTATCTTTCTTTTGTGTTCTGTCCTATGCTGTGTGGATCTCAAATAGAAAAACTCCAAGTAGAAATTAAATAAAAGCAAATGATAAATGAAAATCATAAAGAGATCGTTGACATGAAGTATAAACGTAGCAGGAAAAGGTTAAAAAGGAAATCAAAAGTAGAATAATTCGCGTATTTTCTTTACTTTATCTCAAGCATTTCCAAAGATGTCGATTACGAGAAATTGCTCTTACGTGAAAGACAATATCACATAGATGGTACTTTCTATATTCTTGTCGCCTTGTGGCCTCACATATTATTTAAATTTTTAGCATGAAGCATGGTTTGCATCACTGACATGTTTAATCTTTGTCCAAAATTGACAAACGTGTTACGTCAACTTACATTGTACATCAAGAGAGGCACTAGCGGTGATATTCACACCTAGTCCATTATCTGCTGAACATTGATATTCCCCAGACTGATTTCGTTTGGCGGAAAACCTCAGCACACCTCCTTGAGCCACAGTCTTCCCATCTTTCATCCATGTTATCTCAGGGGTTGGATTACCAGAGGCAGAACAATGGAATCTTGCTTCACTATCTTCTCGAACAGTCAGATCGCTTGGTGTTGCTGTGAAACTTGGTGGAACTGCAAATTACGTAAAGTAAGTTCGGCGGAGTTCGGTTATCCGGAACAACATTATCAAGATAATGGAAATTCCAGCTGACGTGGCTAACGTCTTGATGGATTCTTTCTAATTTTTTCGCCCACGATGCTAATCAACTTCAGGGAACACTCTAACAGTTTGCCGATGCGCACTTATTCAGGAGCGCTTTGCTGTCAAGTTTTTGCATTGTCATTATGGTTACAAGGATCACTAAAACTCACCGATCCAATAATCGAAAACAGGAGATGAATACCTTATGAATTCCCCCATCCCCTTTCCTTGCCATAGTCGTAAGTACTGATTGACACAGACTGAATTATTGTTCGTTTTCCTCCACTGCGATTTTTTTTATTTTGTTGTACCGACCCTGGTATCAGTGTAAGTTTACACTAAGCTATACTTACACTGAACATCAAGAGAAGCACTAGCATTGACAGTCACATTTAACCCATTGGCAGCTAAACACCAGTATTCTCCAGATTGATTCCTATTGGTAACAAACATCAGTTTCTTTCCTTTAGCAACAGTCTTCCCATCCTTAAACCATGTAATCTCTGGAATTGGGTTTCCGGTGGCATCGCAAGTGAATACCACCGAGCTACCTTCAGTTATGGTTTTGTTCGTTGGTTTGACCGCGAAGCTTGGTGCATCTGTGACACAATACAAACATAGAAAACTTAGCATACACTATCAAACGCTTCACTCTTTACATCTTCACATAAATTTTCCGCACTGTGCCAATCAAACGTTTCTTATAATTTCAGTTCTGAGAATTCGTTTGCCTGAAATTGCATTGATAGTGGACAAATTCGTGTTTACCCTTGGGAAGGAGAGGGTCTGAGCCTTGCTGTATCGTGAACTGTATTTCAAGATGAATAACTTAATCGGTAATCACTTAGGCGATTTGAAATCATGCCGGAACACAATTTTGTTCTACCCCGCTGAATTGACCTTCGGTTTAAAAGAGACCAAAGATTGTTTTGTTTTTCGGTCAGACAGAAGACACCTGGGAAAAAAAGATAACAAAAATTGCTAAGGTTGAAGACGACCATCGGTGAAAACTACAAGGTAACACTTACACTGTACATCAAGATGGGCGCTTGCATTGATGGCTAGTTCTACTCCATTCTCAGCCGAGCAAAAGTATTCTCCGGAGTCATTCTTACGGGCTGTAAACTTAAAAGTGTTTCCTGAAGCCAGTATATTTCCATCCTTTGTCCAAGTTATTCTAGGCGTTGGGTTTCCTTTAGCAGCGCAATGGAATATCACTTCTTCGCCTTCCATGACAGTCTGGTCAGATGGTAGCGTAGTGAAACCAGATGAGACTAAAATGGAAAAACGGAATACACTGAGCAAAAATTTAAACGCAGGTAACACTGCGATCTTTAGACTGAATGTACAATCCTGCTCGGGTATACCGCAACATTACACATGCGTTACACGCGTGGTATTCCCACGCACTGCGCGCGCGAAGCACGCACACTTCACATCACATCAGAAGCTACTTGTTTATCAAAAATGCACGCATGTAAGTGTAAAATGCAAGTAAATTACACAAAATAAGTGAAGTAATTCCCATGTACGACGCGCCTCTGACTCTATACATACGAGCAGTACTGTACTATAGACAAATAGATCCTAATTGGCCGCGGGTCTGTCCAATAATTGATCACAGATGACGTCAAAATGTGGTAAGAACAAAAAAAGTGGCTCATAAAGCACACCTTCGGCTATGTGAGATATAAACTAAAGCATTTACTCACACTGAACGTTGAGAAAAGCACTAGCATTGGCCGTGACTCTCAAACCGTTATCCGCAATACACCAGTATATTCCAGAATCTTCCTTCTTAACTTCTAAAGTAAGTGATCTTCCTGTAGCTACAGTCTGACCATCCTTCATCCATGTTATCGTTGGAGTGGGATTCCCCGCAGCTGAGCAGCGGAGAGTTGCATTGTGACCCTCGGCCATAGTTAAGTTTGTAGGAGTAACGGTCAGAGCTGGTGGGACTGTGGCAAAAAAAACAAGCGCTCGTGATATATCAATACATTGGAAACAGAGCACAGCACAGAGATACCAAGAACTACGAAGGGACTAGTCATTGGGAGGGAGGATAAATGTAGGATAGAGGTCTTAAGTCTTGTAACCCCTGTCCCTTATTTTCGCTCTAGTTACGGAAACATAATATCAAAATTATATCAATGTTATGAATGAACATGGAATAATTTTTAGTATGATTTTCTCTGATCTGCAACCAGCTTGAAGAATTCCCCTTAATATGGAGATGTCAAATTTGTAAACAGACACAAACGACCGCACTTCACGCTTTTTATCCTTTGGACAGTTTATCGAAAAAAACCAACTTTTGACAGTCTTTCTTCGCCATACTTACACTGTACGTCAAGATGAGCAGTCGTTTCGATAGCATCACCCAGTCCATTGTCCGCAAAACACCAATATTTTCCAGAATCACTTCTGTTGGTTTGAAGACTCAAGGTGTCCCCTTCAGCCACAGTTTCCCCATCTTTCAGCCACGACATCTTAGGAGTTGGGTTTCCAGTGGCAGCACAATGAAAGGTTGTGTTCGTTCCTTCGATAACAGTTTGGTTAGTTGGTCTTGAAGTAAAGCTTGGTGGAACTGAAACAAATGAGATCTAATTGCATTTCACAGAGCCCATTTCTACTGAATGTTGTAAAACAAAAACGAAAAACTTTCAAACCAGAATGACCGATCAGAACAAAGGAGAACAAGGAGCCTATTAGAAAGGCAGGTAAGGCGAGCCTTTATTTCGCAACTGATTATTTTGGGGGAGGGGAGGGGGTGGCGGGAATTTTCGAGACGAATCACACAATGAAGGAAGCAGAACAACGTACTCCCGCATTACTTTGATCGCAGTTGAGTTGAGCTTCTTTGAGTAACTTACTAAGTCTTTGTAGTCGGATCAACTGGTACAGATATATTGTACTTACACTGGACATCAAGATTGGCACTGGCATTCACAGTAGCCTTCATACCATTCGCTGCCGAACACCAGTATTCCCCAGATTGAGTTTTGTTGGTTTTAAAGCTCAGAGTATCTCCTTCGGCCACAGTCTTTCCATCTTTGATCCATGATATCATGGGAGTTGGGTTCCCGGTGGCTTTACAACGGAAACTTACCATATCTCCTTCAATAGCAGTCTTGTTTGTTGGCTTGGTGATAATACTTGGTGAGACTGAAAGGAGTTAATAACTCAGATATTAAAAAAAGTGTACAATTTGAAAAAGTAAGAGTATTGTGGTCAACTTTCACCGATAGCATTGATATGATATCACTTGAAAGAAAACAATTTTACGAGTTTGGTTTCCAAACTTACACTGTACATCGAGATAGGCAGTTGCATTGATAACTTCACCCACTCCGTTCTTGGCCAAACACCAATATATCCCAGAATCATTTCTGCTGGTTTCAAGGCTCAAAGTGTCGCCTTCTGCCACAGTCTTTCCATCCTTAAGCCATGACATGTCAGGATGAGGGTTCCCAGTTGCTGAACAGTTAAATATGATTGTTGTTCCTTCGATAACAGATTGGTTGCTTGGTCTCGAAGTAAAGTTTGGTGGAACTGGAATAAAATAAAAAAATCATACACAGTATTCAAATCTGTAGGATTTAAATTCTTTATGCACAATCCGTGAAGTATTTTCTTTTGTAGCAGCTATGTTACGCACATGAAACATAAACATTGAGTTGTTATTGAGACGGAGAAGACTAGTGATAGTTTGTCAGGGAGGAACCAAAGACAATTGCGGATGTGGAATAATTAACACAGATTGCAATCAACGGGTTACTGATTATTCTCCGGGGTCAAATGTATGGTACTTACACTGAACATCAAGATTTGCACTAGCATTGACAGCGGACGCTAATCCATTCTCTGCTGAACACCAATATTTTCCAGTTTGAGTTCTGTTTGTTTCAAAGCTGAGTGTGTCTCCTTCACCCACAGTCTTCCCATTGTTAATCCATACCATCTTTGGAGTTGGGTTCCCAGTGGCAGCACAATGGAAGGCTACCATGTCTCCTTCAGCTACAGTCTTGTTTGTTGGCTTGATGATAATACTCGGTGAAACTTAAAGGTGAAGGAAAAAAACAGGTAACAAAAGTGTCCATCTTCAAAGACTACTGAAGTAATGACAAGTACATAGAAAACACAAAAATAAATAAATAACATAAATTAACCTTAAATACAGACTTAGAAAAGGCATTATCATCCATAAAAGGGAAATTTACACGGCCACGATCTCCAACGAAGGTTTGCAGATTTGCACTGCATTCCATTTTCCAAAGCTAGCATACAACAACTGCATTGAACAAACCGATCTGATTTTTTTAAGCGTCTCGATAGGATTGTCGTAAATGCTCTTTACAGAGCAAATTATTTTGCCAGTTTATATATCAAACTTACATTGCACATTAAGATAGACCGTCGTATTGATAGCTTCACCTAGTCCATTCTCAGCCAAACACCAATATTTTCCAGAATCGTTTCTACTGGTTTCAATGCTGAGAGTGTGTCCTTCAGCCACAGAACTCCCATCTTTCATCCACGTTACAGTTGGAGCTGGGTTCCCGGTGGCAGTGCAAAGGAAACTTACATTCGTCCCTTCAATAACAGTTTGGTTGCTCGGCCTCGAAGTAAAACTTGGTGGAACTGTAACAGAAGAGAAAGCACGCATAAAATTTATATTTGTCTGTAAATTGAAATAGCTCATAGCTATTTTCCAGGTATAATGCTAAAATACTTACACTGGACATCAAGATTAGCGCTGGCATTTACAGAAGGCTGCAATCCATTCTCTGCCGAACACCAGTATTTTCCAGATTGAGTTCTATTGGTTCTAAAACTCAGTGTGTCTCCTTCAGCCATAGTTATTCCATCTTTAGTCCACGTTATCTTTGGAGTTGGGTTTCCAGCGGCAGCACACTGGAAGGTTAGCAATTTTCCCTCGGTAACAATCTTATCCTCTGGCTTGAGGATGATACTCGGGGAGTCTAACAACGTGAAAAGAGAAATCTAAAACAAGCGGTACATTTGATTACTAAGTCGCTACATGTTTATCTTCTACAAATCAGCACAAAATAATCAATTCTTTATTTCGACCTTAACCAACGCTGTTTGGTTTTGACTTTACACTTGATTCCTTGATGTTTAGTAATTAGAGAAGGGATAATGAACAAAAAATAAGCAAGGGAACACCACACTGCCTTGTATAAAGCTTGTGTTGCCTCGGTATAATTTTGATATTTTAAGACACCAATCTTATTTAAATAAACGTCTTCACCGGAGTTACATAAATATGTGAAACTTCATATTGCTTTTCTATCTGTTGCTAAAATAGATGAGATTTTAGCATATCCGGAAAGACAGTTAGGTTGAACCAAGATATTTCATTAGTTTTGTTATGATATGTCTTTTAGGAAACACTTTTCCTTAGTTTCTCTACCAAACTTACATTGTACATCAAGAATGACAGTTGTATTGATAGTTTCACCAAGTCCATTGGTGGCCAAACACCAATATTTTCCAGAATCATTCCTGCTGGTTTCAAAGCTGAGAGTGTGTCCTTCTGCCACAGATTTTCCATCTTTCATCCACGTTATAGTTGGAGTTGGGTTCCCAGTGGCAGTGCAATGGAAAGTTGTATTCGTTCCCTCAATAACAGTTTGATTTGTTGGTCTTGAATCAAAGCTTGGTGGAACTTAAATATAATACACACAGTATGAAAAAGTGAATAACAAACCAGTTAGTAAAAAGAGGTCAAGTATTGGACCACAAGTAAAAATTGGTATAATGTTAATTGTACTTACATTGGACGTCAAGATTAGCGCTGGCATTGACAACAGCTTTTACTCCGTTCTCTGCCGAACACCAGTATTCCCCAGATTGAGTTCTGTTGGTTTCAAAACTCAGTGTGTCTCCTTCACCCACAGTCTTCCCATCTTTAGTCCATGTTATCTTTGGAGTTGGGTTACCAGCGGCAACACAATGGAAGGTTACAAAATTACCCTCGGTAATAATTTCGTCCGTTGGCTTGACGATGATACTTGGTGAGTCTAAAAAAAGTGATTTAGAGAAATATAAAGCAAATGGAACATTTTGGAGCAAAGTCAAGATTTGTGTATTTTCAAAAATTGAGCGTAAATCAACTTTTCATTTCCACTATTTTCTAACCTTTCCGACCTAAGCTATCCTTGTTTGCTTTGGGCTTAATACTCGACTCCTTGATGTTTGTTGATTAAAACGCGATAATGAAAAAAAATAACACTAAGGGAACCGAAAACTGCCGAGTATAGAGCTCGTGAAACTTTTGTATCAGATAGGACACCATTCTCACTTAAATAAAGTTCTACCGGGGTTACATAAAGATTTGATCTGCATGAGGGTTTCTCTCTTTACTAAATTTGTTGAGATTTTGGCACATCAGGAAAAACAGTTTGGTTGGTACAAAAGTAAATTATTTTCTACATATTTCATTATCATTGTTATGATCTTTCTTTTAAGAAACAGTTATCCTTTTGTTTCTCTACCAAACTTACATTGCACATCAAGATAAACTGTCGTATTGATAGCGTCACCCAGCCCATTCTTAGCCAAACACCAATATTTTCCAGAATCATTCCTGCTGGTTTCAAAGGCGAGAGTGTCTTTTTCAGACACGGAAGTGCCATTCTTCATCCATTTTATGGTTGGAGTGGGGTTCCCAGTGGCAGTGCAAAGGAAAGTTACATTCGTTCCTTCGATAACAGTTTGGTTGCTTGGTCTCGAAGTAAAACTTGGTTGATCTGGAAAAAGAGAAAACAAACAAACCAGTAAATTATAAGCCAGCAAGTACAAAGATGCTTAATAATAGACTACCATCAAAGATTTTCTGTTCTTCTCCTGGTAGGGCGCTATCGTACTTACACAAAACATCAAGATTGACACTAGCATTATCGGTAAACTTCAATCCATTGTCTGCTAAACACCAGTATTTTCCAGATTGAGTTCTGTTAGCTTCAAAGCTCAGTGTATCTCCTTCCTCTACAGTCTTGCCATCTTTGATCCACGTTATTGTTGGAGTTGGGTTCCCAGTGGCAGTACAGTTGAAGGATACCTTATTTCCTTCTGCTACAGTCTTGTTCGTTGGGTTGACGACAATACTTGGGGAAACTTAGAAGAAAGGACGATTAAAAAGAAAAGTAATCGTGTTCATCTTCAACAATACAACGAAAGAGTAATCAGGTGTCGCTTTGTTCGTCCTAGGCCAGTCCTAATCTGTCTTCGTTTGTTTTGAAATGTGTGCTAGAAGCAGATCTAGAAATTCGTAATAAGGGAAGGACGACCAGACCTAAATACACTTATTTTCAGTTTTTCAGCCTCGATAAGCTAAGTACTATTCAAAAACAAGTAAATTTAAATACTTCATACTAAGTAGTAGTATGTAAAACTGTCTTTGCAACAATTTTAGGGTTAGACGTTTGACAAGTAAAAATACCCGAAGGTCTAATAAGGGGGGAGGGGGGGAAAAGTGTTTTCGGACACCACCCCTCCCCGAAATTCCCCCTGGATCTACCACTGGTTTCGACACGATTGTCTTAAAACTTTTAACACAGCGCATTACTTCGTCAGTTTCTTTATCAAACTTACATTGTACATCAAGATAGGCAGTGGTGTTGATAGTTTCACCCACTCCATTCTTAGCTAAACACCAATAATTTCCAGAATTGTTTCTGTTGGTTTCAAGGCTGAGAGAGTTTCCCTCGGCCAAAGCATTCCCATCTTTCATCCACGAAATCTTTGGAGTTGGGTTCCCAGAGGCATTACAATGGAATGTAGTTTTTGTTCCTTCCATAACAGTCTGGTTGGCTGGTTTCCACGTAAAGCTTGGTGGAACTAATAAATGGTGAATCATTCATGAAGTTTAGAACAGCAGGAGATGGGAAAACATTAGCTCGGTAAGTGAAAAAAACATAAGAAGAGGGAAAATAACTCAAGAAAGTACAATGCTAAAGTACTTACACTGGACATCAAGATTGGCGCTGGTATTTACAGGAGGCTTCAATCCGTTATCTGCCAAACACCAGTATTTTCCAGATTGAGTTCTGTTCGGTTTGAAGCTAAGTGTGTCTCCTTCAGCCACAGTCTTCCCATCTTTCTTCCACGTTATATTAGGAGCTGGGTTGCCAGTGGCAGTACACTGGAAGGTTGCCATATCTCCCTCAATAACAGTCTTATCCGTTGGTTGGCTGATATTACTCGGGGAAACTTAGTGATGAATAAAAGGATATAAGTTTTCAATTACGCAGCCGAGTTACGACTTGTTCATCTCAACAATAAATTGAAAACCAATCAAGTTTCCATTTACAATATATTCCAATCCCCTCTCTGAGTTAGCCATTCCTATTTGCTTTCGGTCTTATTCCTAACGCACTAGTGTCTCTCGATAGAGACAGGATGTTAAAGTGTGGGAATCGGGAATTGTCACATTAAAAAAAGCTCAGGTTTCCTTTAATTTTAACATCACGAAAGGATATCACTATCGGCTACAGGAAGATCTTCAAAGGAGGTTTGCAGATATGATATTCATATCGCTTCTCTCGCCTTTTTCATGTTTCTAGTGTTTTGGAACATACACAAATTCAGCCAAGTTACACGGCACGAATTGAATTTTTTTTTCACTTCGTTGGCATTGTCATAATATTTTTTGTGAAAATACTTTTCTTGTTTCTTTTTAAACTTACATTGTACATCAAGATAGACAGTTGTATTGATAGCTTCACCCAGCCCATTCTTAGCCAAACACCAATATTTTCCAGAATCATTCCTGCTGGTTTCAAAGCCGAGAGTCTCTCCTTCAGCCACAGAACTCCCATCTTTCATCCACGTTAAAGTCGGAGTTGGGTTCCCAGTGGCAGTGCAAAGGAAAGTTACATTCATTCCCTCGACAACAGTTTGGTTGCTTGGTCTCGCAGTAAAGCTTGGTGGAACTGAAACAATGGATAAAAGCAAAACAGAGTGAGCAATAAACCATTTTTTTTCCTAGCGGTTTTAAATACTAGATTGGTGATCGTTTACGAAAAGGAAAATGAGGTAAAAAATAAAGGTCCTATAACCGCTTTTGGGCAAAAAGTGTCATGAATCGGACCCTGCGATGAACAGATTGTTACAACTGCAGACTGACTAAAAAAAGATCGATCATCTCTGTGTGCCTGCGTAACAAGCATAATTTCGAACCCCTGATGTTCACCATATTCTTGTGGTATAATTATATTGTACCAGGGTTTTCTTTAAGGTTTTAAGTAGCCGGAGCTTTTTTAAAGGTAACCGGTTGTGGGTCTCGAAATCCAATATGGCGGACAAAACGTCATATCTTTCGTACTTTCCTGCCACCGCTGCAAGATTTGTCAAAAAGCCAGTCCCCATCAGAACGTTTTTAGACTAACCTTGAGTCAGAAGTCTTTTTATGTTTTCAGAAAAGATAGGCAGTGAAAATTTTTTTTTTTTGAGCCCAAGTTTAGACCTGATGAACATCATCTCTCTTCGGGTTCTAGAAGCAATGAAAGTAGCCGACGAAACCTAGCAGAGAAGCCGGCCTACTTCGCCGGCTACCGGCTCTTATCTACAACCCTGTGTACTTACACTGAACATCAAGATTGGCGCTAGCATTAACTGCAGGCTTCACTCCATTCTGCGCTGAACACCAGTACTTTCCAGCTTGAGTTCTGTTTGTTTTAAGGCTAAGTGTGTCACCCTCAGCCAAAGTCTTCCCATCTTTGATCCATTTTATCTCTGGAATTGGATTCCCACTAGCCGCGCAGCGGAATGCTACCATGTCGCCCTCGGTAATAGTCTTGTCAGTTGGCTTAATGGTAATACTCGGTGAAACTGAAAAAGTAAAAATTGAAAAGATATAAATGACGTTCATACAATTATTATTCTTTACAGAGCCACCTCACTTTGAATTTTTTTAGTTCACAATTTTCAATCCTTGCCTTTGCAAATCTAGCCATCCTTGTATACATTTAATTCATTCTTGCCACTAAGTTGTTGGACTTCTCTCGTTTTACTGTTCCATTAACCTAATATCTATCACGAACTTACATTGCACATCAAGATTGGCACTAGCGTTGACAATTGGTTTCAATCCGTTATCTGCTAAACACCAGTATCTTCCAGAATTATTCCTGTTGGCATCAATATTCAGTGTGTTTCCCTGAGCCACAGTCTTCCCATTGTTAATCCAGGTTATATTTGGGACTGGGTTTCCGATGGCACTGCAGTTGAACGTAGCTACGCCACCCTCTTCAACGGTTTGATTAGTCGGTCGGACTGTAATGCTCGGTGCAACTGTAAATCGAATAAATAACCATTGGATAACAATAAAATGCTGAAGACGTCTCACGCACGAAGTCCGGAGACAATTAATAATACGGAAATTATAAAAATAACATTGTACCTCCCGGTATGGGACGAAGAATATTCTCAAATGATTTGAAAAGGTCAAATTGACCGATTATGTTGCGTACTGAAGCCATTTTGAAGTGATATTAGTAGAAATCCGGAACTCAACAAATTTTGCTCCATTGTGTTCATTCATGGTTTTGGAAACTTTTCAATACTCCGCACCAATCAAAGGCGTAAAACTCAAAAGTGATTGTGACTTGACAATCAACGTTTTACTGCGCATAGGTCTCTTTCCTCGCTCCTGTTATATTTTCCTTTGTTGTAAATGGCCATCGAGATAACTTTGGTTTTCGTTTACAACATGCAACCGGAATTTACACTATCAAGTAAGTACTTAAAACAACCATTTGATACTTACACAGCACATTCAGATAGGCACTAGCATTGGCAATAGTTTGAAATCCATTTTCTGCCACACACCAGTAATTTCCGGACTGATTCCTGTTGACTACTAAGCTGAGGTGATCTCCTTTACCCACAGTAATCCCATCCTTGATCCAAGATATGTTTGGTGTTGGGTTACCAGAGGCTGCACAATCCAATGTGGCTGTTTCTCCTTCGAGGACAGTTTGATTTACTGGTGTAGTTGTTAGGTTTGCTGGAACTACAATGGACCGGAGAAGATCATTGTTTTGCAACTAGTGCGTGCGTTTATCCGCTGCTAAATCAGAGAATTGCAATCGTAAGATAACATACTCGTGTCATGTTTTTACTCACATTGTACATCAAGATAGGCACTTGTGTTGATAGCAGGACCCAGTCCATTCTCCGCAGAACACCAGTACTCTCCAGATTCACCCTTATTCGGCGTCAAACTCAAAGTTTCCCCATGAGACACAGTCGTACCATCCTTGATCCACACTATCTTTGGGGTTGGGTTACCGGTTGCATTACAGGTAAACGTTACGTCATCAGCCTCTGCGACAGTTTTGTCAGAAGGTTTTATGGAGAAGCTTGGAGGATCTATAAAAGAAGGGGTTAAGTTTGCAGCTAGCTTATGACAATTTAATCCATGAAATTTAACAAGATATTATGTAAATTAAGTTGCGCTAATCAGAAGATTTCTCAATCTAAAGTAGATTTGTGATAACATAACTAAAGCATTTTCTTACTCATCCAGTTACTGCTCTGTCACAACACTTTTAAATCGAGTGTCGAAATTAAAACCGGAATGTATCGGTTTTTCTTCACCTCTCTCTCAAACAGTCTTGTTAGGTAACAGTCATTACGTATTGCTTGGGGAGGGTTGAGGGATTTGGGAGAGGAATCACATGGTTTTCTGGGAGGAGGAGGGAGGTATGGTTGTCAAAAGAAAGCATGAAGGGGGTACTATGGAAAATTGACTGCAAATGAGGGGAGGTCGGATCAATATCAGTATCTGAGCAACTGCCCACCCACCCCTCCCCTAACTCAACAACAGTCAATTGATAACAACTAAGGGTTAATGTTGGGTTAAGGGAGGGGTAGGTGGGCAGTTGTCCAGATACTGATATTGATCCACGAGGTAAATAGAATACATCAGAGCCCTATGGGGGAACAGGCGAATTTTGCTGTGTGACAACCAAAAGACTACGAACCCCATCTCCACCCCCTCGGCAACAAAAAACAACCGATCTCTTAAATTCATTTGCAGAAGGAAAAAAACTTGGTTGAGAATTCCAACTCTTTAACTGTCAAATAAATACTCACATTGTACATTAAGGTGAGTTCTCGTTTTGACAGTGACATTCAACCCGTTATCTGCCAAACACAGGTATATTCCGGAATCATTCCTCAGAGCTGTGAAGCGTAGTGTATCGCCATAAGCCACAGGTTTCCCATCCTTAATCCACGTTATCCTTGGTGCAGGGTTACCAATTGCATCGCAATGGAGAGTCACTTCATCAGATTCATTGACCGTCTTGTTAACCTTTTCACCCGTGAGACTTGGTGCGACTGAAAGGGACGAATATTCGATGTTGACCGTTTACACCCTAACATCAGTATGCATATTCTCCATACTGTTCTCTATACATTTCCAAAGGTGCTGATAAGGAGAATTTCTTTAACAATCAATAGATTCTTTAGTTGGTGATCATTTCCTTTATTCTCGTGCCTTAATCTTTGATTCAGGTGTGTTATTGTAAGGAGGAATTGGTTGCTTGTCAAAAAAGTCAAAGGGGTAAGTCAAAGGGTTACAGTACTACCCTTTAACAGCTTAGACATAACTGCAGTGCTCCAAGCTGCAACCCTTTTGGTCATTGGCGAGTAATAAAACAATTGAGCGACTTATTCTGAACCAAATTGCCCAAATTGTTGTGGCTTTGCCATGGTTAAAAAGGGGGGTGCGGAAGAAGGTGTGACATTTAATTGACATATTATGTACCACTGCGAAAAAGATGCCTCTTTCATTTGCCCCCCTTCCTTTCTGGTGACCAAATTTTTGTTTCGGGAGACCATGTTGAGAATAGCATCTCTGAAACAAGATGAGCTTGGGACCCTGAACCACAATGATCATAAAATCAATGACTTTTGCCAAATTACTTACAATGCACATCAAGATAGGCACTAGCATTGACAGTGGCTTTGAATCCATTCTCTGCTGAACACCAGTATTTCCCAGATTGGTTCCTGCTTGCTGGGAATCTTAGAATCTCTCCAGAACCCACAGTCATCCCATCTTTAGTCCACGTTATCTTTGGGGTTGGGTTACCAGTGGCAATGCATTGGAAAGTTGCTTCATCCGACTCAAGAACTGTTTGGTTACTGGGTGCAGTGGTTAGGCTTGGTGCAACTGCAACAAAGAAAATCAGTTGTGATACATTGAAAGGATAGTCACAGGCAAGATTAGCAGAGGCTTCCTTAGAAAATCAAAAGTCTTGAAAACTTTTTACTCGATCTCAAAATCTCCTTAAAAGATGTCCAAAAGTCTTATTCATAGGTAATTTTAATTTGTTCTTGGAGTCTCACATTTCTTTACAAGTTCTTGAGTTCTGAGATTTTTATTTCTTACCCAGTCTCTTGCTCAAAATGTCGATAGATAAGCTTAGATTTATTGTTGTGAGTGAAGAAAATTTGGTTATGATGGTTGTGATTTAAAAGCATTTTACTGTGGAAGTTGATACGTAGTTACAAACAAACATAAAAGAGGATATCACAGCTCTGTATAAAACGTCAGAAATAACGAGTCTCACTTTCTGTCTTAGATTTGCAAACTTATGATCAAAACTGTGGTGCTGCACTGATAGCAGGCATTATAAGATAACTTGGTGCATCAACTGAGTCAAAAATGTAAAGTGGCCACCATACCAAGTTTCCAAAACTAAGCTTCAAATGTTAGCCCTTTGTCAGAGTGAATGATCAAAGAATCCCACAATTCTGGGATTTTACCATTGATTCCTCATATAATACTGTGGATGCATTTTTAAATACAAGTCGATTTTTGAGTGTTAAGTGAAGTCAAACTACTATAGCAGGGGAATGTAGACTACCTTTGAAAGTATTGATATTTGTATTACAAAATAGAAATAACACTAAACAAATTGTGCTTATTCCACTCAATCAAACATGTTCTCAATCACCCCTACAGAAATAATATGGACAAATAATCAAGCTATTTTGCATTTCTACTTACAAAGCACATCAAGATATGCACTGGTGTTCATTACTGTCTTTAAGCCATTCTCTGCCATGCACCAGTAATGTCCAGAATTATTCCTGTTGCTTTCAAATCTTAGTGTCTCTCCATGTGCCACAGTCTTTCCATCCTTGTACCAAGTTACATTTGGCAACGGGTTTCCAGTGGCATTGCAATGAAACGTTACCATGTCAGTCTCTTTTACTGTTTGGTTAACAGGCTTGTTCACAAAATTTGGCAAATCTGTAAGAGAGGTTCAAGAGAAAGGCCTTGTGACTACTATTCCTTGATATAAGACTATGATTCCTTCTTGGCAAAACCCCCAGCCTACACATGCCCTAGTGCTGAGTCTGCTTGGTGTTTCAGACCTCAATAAGTACTTATAAAATCAAGCTGATAACAAGAACTTGGATTTGACTTTTGCACAGGGATGGTAAACCTAAAAAGCAATGGCAGTGAGGAGTGCCAGAGGTCACCAAAGTAGATCAGCCACACCCTATGACTTGAGGTAGCTGCCAATTGACGCAATACTAGGAAAGATGTTTTAGGAGTGATAACATTGCAGTTAAGTCAGGTACTTAGAAAGATTTATGCATGGGAACTGGAGGGACAGAAAAAAGGATTCAATGACAAAACATAATCCTGAAAAGCTTTGCTCCTTCTCAACTGATCAACCTCTACTCTTCAAAAGTACACAAACTGGAGATAGTGTAAAACTAAAGTATCACACGTGTAACTGTTGTGCATTGGTGATGGAGATAAAAATTGGATCAGCACTCAGCTTGGCTAAATTTTATTTCCTGTGGGGAACAGGAAACTTCAGCATTCAAGAACACTGGTCCACCTGTAGACATCCCTGCAGCCTCAGAGTCCATAGAAATTCTCAATAAGATATAGCATTCTCACTTACACTGAACATCAAGAGTAGCACTAGCATTAACAGTAGAATTCAGTCCATTTTCCACAGAACACCAATATTCCCCAGATTGATTCCTCATAGCTTCAAAGATAAGCAATCCTTGAGTAGCCACAGTCTTGCCATCTTTCATCCACTTTATCTCAGGCACAGGGTTCCCATCTGCAGCACAGTGGAAGGTAGTTTCTTTGCCTTCAAGGACAACCTGATCAACTGGTTTTGTGGTCAAACTTGGTGGGTCTAGAAAAGACATTCATTCATTATTATATGTCCTAATTTCATCTTCTAAATTAATCCTCAAAAGGGCCAAAGGCTAACCATTGAAGACTTTCATTCCATCATAGAAATTGTAGGAAGAAATTCCTTTTTGACCACTCCTGGAAGTGAAAGGGCAAATATGCTATACATCACTTACATTGTACATTAAGGTGGGCACTGGTGTTCACTGTGACACCCAGACCATTTTCTACTGAACACCAGTAGTTTCCTGATTGATTTCTGTTGGCTTCAAAGCTCAGTGTTTCTCCTTTAGCCACAGTCTCTCCACCTTTCAGCCATGATACCTTTGGAATTGGGTTCCCAGTGGCAGTACAGTGGAAGGTTATCCTTTTGTTTTCAATGATCGTTTGATCTGATGGCCTGGTTATTATGCTTGGTGGAACTAAAACAATTTGATTATACTCATTAATGATAAAAAAAAACAGGCTATGTAAAGTTTAAGAGTAATAATTACCCTTTCACTAGGGAAAAATCATTTCATCAGTCAATAGAGATATATCTTTAAAAAAATAACTGAAAAATAGCTAACAGTTAACTGTTTCTCAAAGACTTGCACTGGAAGTTCTTGATTGACATAGCTCAAAAAAAAACTTACAAATACTACATGGCTGCATTAATCAAAAGCAGCCCTTTGTTGCCTAAATCCATTTTTTAACTCCCAAATGTGATTAACATGTACATGTTACTTCTCCACATGATATCCAGATATCATCCAGCAAACTAGTAACAAAAATATTTAAACTTATCAGGCAGATGTTGTTATCTTGATAACCACTAAATTCTTCTCACTGATTTACAAGGAAATGTGTACCAGCTAGAGGGGGGAATTCACAAGCCAATAGGACATCTTGGAAGTTAAAGAATTATTCCATGTCTACCCAAATATCTACGTAAATGCAAAATTTTCACTTACATTGTACATCAAGAATAGCACTGGCATTCACAATCACACTCAATCCATTCTCAGCTGTGCACCAATATTTTCCAGATTGATTCCTGTTCGCTTCAAAGCTCAGTGTTTCTCCATGACCAACAGTAGTCCCATCTTTTAGCCAAGTTATCTTTGGGGTTGGGTTCCCAGTAGCAGAGCAGTTGAATGTTACAGTTTTGGACTCAATTACTGTCTGGTTTGTTGGTTTTGTGATTAAACTTGGTGCAACTGCCAAATTATAGAATATTGAATTGATATTTGTAAAACACAGTAAAATTTAAGAGATCCTCACAGCTAAGAACACTACTGAAACGAGCAGTTGTAAATAGGACCTGAAAAAAATTCAAGAAAATGAAGATTTTAGATTATATCTAAAATCTTCATTCACTTGGATGTTTATTTGGACCCAATTCATTGACCAGCTCCCAGTTGGCTTGTTAGCTCAATTGGTAGAGTGCTGCACCGGTATCACAGAGGTCATGGGTTCAAATCCCGTACGGGCCTGAATTTTTTTCAGGTCCTATTTACAACTGCTCGTTTCAGTAGTGTTCTTAGCTGCGAGGATCTCTTAATTTCATCTCTCCACCGCAGTGCAAATATATGAATTTTCATATATCTAAAATCTTCATACAGTAAAATTTGTGTAAAATCCATGGAATCCCTTCCAAATAAAATCCCCTTAGCCTTTTCCAATCTCTGGAAGTGGTTTTTAGCACAAAATCAACAATTGGCAAAGAGTAAATCTCCTAGGCAAAAAAAGAATTATTCCTGACTTGTATGTCTTAATGGCATTCATGACAAAATGACAATATATTTATCTGTGGCCTTTTGTTCTGGCTTTGTACTCAATGAGTCTGTTCATTTCTCCAAAATGAAATTGCAATACTCACATTGTACATCCAGATGAGCACTTGCGTTGACAGCAACACCCAAGCCATTATTCACTGAACACCAGTACTTTCCAGCCTTACTTCTGATCGCTCCAAAGGAAAGACTCTCTCCTTGTGATACTACCTTTCCATCTTTCATCCAGGTTATTTTTGGAACAGGGTTACCAATGGCAGCACAGTAAAATGCCACCACCTTATTTTCAACAACGGTCTTGTTAGAAGGCTTGGTGGTAAAACTGGGTGGAACTAGGAGCACAACAAATTTATGAATAAGCTGTTGAATCTTAAAAATTTGTATCCAGGTTTATAGTTTTGTTCCTTTAATGAAGTCAAACAGAAGCAGTTAAACTGATCCATCATAAAGTACTTAAGCAAGGGTTTCAAGAATTGTGGCTGTCGAGGATGTAATATGCAGCTTTACCAGGAAAACAACCTGAACACAAGGACCTGTTTGCAGACTTATCAATAAAGGGCAAAATTACTGAGCGCTGATTGGTTGAGAGAGAGGGCATTTTTTCTTAATCGAGGGCATTTTTAGTAATCAAGAGAGGGCATGATTACCTTGTTCAGTTAAAAGCACTTTGTTGTTTTTCTGTTGGCAGAAACGCTCTGTTGAAATAAGCTTTGTTTTCTAGACTTTTGGCAGTGTATCACGACACAGTTTTGGAGAATAAAATTTCATTGAATCGATTGGTCAGTTCAATTTGATTAATGATTTGCCGTAGCGCTAAACAGGCTTCCCAGATAAAAATAGACTGCGCGCGTGATTTTCCTTCATATAAATTTTGCCCTTTATTGATAAACAAGTAATCCCATGAGACCTCGTACTATTAAGGATTAATTGCACTTGAGTTTTCAAAATTTTCCAACTGATTTATTTGATTTATTGCAAATTGCCCTCGTCGCTTCGCGACTCGGGCAATTTTGGAAAATTTTGAAAACTCTCGTGCAATTAATCCTTAATAGTACTTGGCCTCATGTGATTACATATACTAAACAGACAGCAGCAAGAGGTCTTTTAGGCGACCACAGATCACCAGTGCATGCTTTTCTTGAAACCCCCTGCTAAAGTCAGATGAGTTTCTAATACATAAAAGTAAAATATAGCTCTAATTACAGTTCATTGTTTGGGTTTTTTTCATTACCAAGAAGTTAAAAAAAGATGCAATATAGATAATTCATGTAAGATTTATAATCATGTTTAACCAACTTACATTGGACATCTAGAGTGGCACTTGCATTAACAGTGGAATTTAGTCCATTCTCTGCTAAACACCAGTATTTTCCAGATTGATTCCTGTTGGTTTCAAAGCTCAGTGTTTTTCCTTCAGCCACAGTCTTCCCATCTTTCATCCATGATATCTTTGGAGTTGGATTCCCGATGGCATTGCAGTGGAATGTTACATTTTCCGATTCAGTAACAGTTTGGTCAACTGGTTCCGTAATTAAACCAGGTGCAACTAAACAAAAAATGGAAACACAATATGAGCTTAAAATTTCTCAAGAAATGAAATTCGGCAAGCTTTTTAATAACAAGTTTTGAATAATTACTTGTTTAACATTTTGGATCAATATCAGTATCTGGGCTACTGCCCACCTACCCCTCCCCTAACCCAACGGCAGTCAATTAATGACAAATTAGGGTTAATGTTGGTTTAGGGGAGGGGTAGGTGGGTAGTTGCCCAGTTACTTATATTGATCCAACATTCTGTCAAAATTTTCAGTTTCTTCAAATGATACAAATTCTCAACTCACTGTATTAGTACGTAGAATTAGAGGCAGTGTAGCTTAGTTGTTTGGGCGCTGAGCTTGTAACCTGTTAGGTTGTTCCTTAGTTTTTTGTTTTGTTTTTTATTTTTGTTTTTGGTTTTGGACTGAAAGTTTTAACACTGGAATTGCTCTGGTTTTGCTGCCCAAAACTTAGTGATTGACCAACCTTTAGGCAAAACTAAAACCAAGGTTGAGAGTTGAGAGGCGAACAGTCCGCCCTCGTCGCCTCGCTAGGCAGGGAAACCCCAGAATATGAAAGGACCTCTTGTTACAGCATTTGGATCACCCCTGATGAAGGCACTAGACAGGAGTGTCGAAACGTTGGGTCTATGAATTGTAACTTCTTCGGTTACATTCATTAAATCTGTAAACCAAAGTAGCATCAAATCATGTCCCAAACCCCAGAATATTTCTGGCAATTCTAATCTAATTATCGTCCAGAGGAAACGTCAAACAATAGGCAGTCAAATCGAGTCGAAATTTATATAAATGCACCAATGGAACATGCAGTAAATAATACGTTGCAATAAAGTAATTAAGTGTCGAGGTCTGATCGCTATGGATAGTACTCAAATTAACTCGACCATAGCTATTAACTTGAGTTAAATTTATAACTTCTTATCCCCAAACCTTAGTTTTGAAATGCGAAACGAGCTATTTTCCTCTTGAGATCCCCGTCTTTTCCACGGTAGGGTTCGAAAAACTTTCGCTGCTGCATTCCCTTTTGAGATACACCCAGCGTAAACTACAGATCGCCTACACACACCGTTTACGTGCGTAAGTACTGTCACACTCGACAGTACCGCCATCTTCATTTTTTTTCCAATTAGAGCTTAGCAGCCACACCTTTGAATAACATGGTGTTCTTCGTGATCTTTACACAACGTAAACACGAAAGAGGTAAACATCGCGCTTGAAATACGAGAAGGCTACAAACGTGGGCTCGAAAATACAGTCAAACACCACTAAAATCGAGAACTTGCTTGGACAGCTTCGCTTAGTAAGTAAAATGTTAGCTCAGAAAGAATTTACTAAAGAAGCAACATCGATTTGGCCGTATTCAGGGTTCTCAATAACTCAGGGAGTAGATTTCTAGCTTCATGGAGGTATAGGTAAACGCGCGTCGTGTGGACATTTGAAGAGTGCTCAACCAGCATGAAAATGTAAAAGCATATATGAATGCGTGTCTTTGTAGAATATAAAACTGGCCTTTAAGGCAGTTGTCTGTTTACGAAATCTTTGGTAGCTTTTCTATAGGTAACTAAGGTATGCCATGTATGCATATGTCGACTTCTGTACCTATTACAGTGAAAACCATACTTAGTCAATAAGTATCAGATTATTTCATATTTCCTCTGTTTCCTTTTTGGTCTGTTTGTATAGGAAAAGACTAGTAAGATAACTTTAGTGTACAGCTCTAAATCTACTTCAAAACAGTCATTCACTTACATTGGACGTCCAGGTAAGCACTAGCATTGATAGAGATATTTAGACCACTTCCAGCTTTACACCAGTATTCTCCCGAATGACTTCTGTTAGCTTTGAAACTCAGTTTGTCTCCTTGAGCCACAGTCTTCCCATCTTTGATCCATGTTATCTCAGGGATTGGGTTTCCAGTGGCCATGCAATGTAAATTAACCTCTTCATTTTCAACTATTGTTTGATTGGATGGTTCAGTTGTGAAACTTGGTTGAACTGTAAAAAAATTAGGTTAAACACTTAGAATATAGACAACTGGCATATTGTGCAATACAGTTTTTTAATATGATGCAGAAACTGGTTCATGAGTGGTGTAATATGCCAATCAATTCAAAGCTTCAATATCCCAGCCCCTGGGGCATTTGAACTTTCAAAGATTGGTTTATGGGAGGGGGGATGTGGTAATTGAAGCTTCGAATTGATCAGCACATAAGTAGCCTAACTTTAGTTGGTCTACAGCAAATGGATGTTTGAGTAATACTCAACCTAAAGATCATCTGTGGTAAACTGATACAAAAATAAATGTTCAGCCCAAATCTCAATTTCTCAACAATTAGCTGACATTCCATCTTGTACTCAGGCAGATTAATGGTCATTGACCTTAAGGCAACTGCTGAAAAACTGTCAGTAGAATACATATACTGTATGCACTAAGTATTCCCTGACTGTCGATCAATATATAATATCTCTCTGTTAGAATGTGCACTATGTTAGGTCAATTTAGTGGGTGGAATATCTTTGTATGGCCGGCTAAATAAATCAAATACCACTCCAAAGAAAACTCAGAGATTAGCAAGAAATATGGCCTAAAAACTCTTTGTGATAACAATATGAAAATTATAAAATTCTTGCAAAGTACTTACACAGAACATCAAGACTAGCACTAGCATTGACAGTAGAATTCAACCCATTCTCTGCTGAACACCAATATTTTCCAGACTGAGTTCTGTTTGTTTTAAAGGTCAGTGTTTCTCCATGAGCCACAGTCTTCCCATCTTTTATCCAAGATATCTTTGGGGCTGGGTTTCCAGTGGCATTGCAGTAAAAGGTTGCTGTTTCACTTTCAAGTACTGTCTGGTCAGCTGGTGTAATAATTAAGCTTGGTGCAACTGAAAAAGATCATACAAGAATGTATACCAAACTGAATGACTACAGTGAATTAATGATCTAAAAATTTCTAATGCATTGTGATGGCTATGATATTGTTCTTGTTTGGGACATCAAATTGAGTTCAACCTTCTTGTTGTTGTGTACAAAAACAGACTTCCTCTCAGAAGGCTTTCTATGCACAACCTTTTTGAGAAGTTATGTATCCCACTGCTTCAACCAAGATCCTCCCTCTCTGTCCCCTCAAATTTATAATTGCGCACAATTGCCATTACTAAGATTACTGGAAGTCTGGGGCATTTATTTATCGATATTGCTTACAATTAAGTTACAAACACCTTTCAGCCATACTTACATTGTACATTAAGGTAGGCACTACTATTGGTTGTTTTATCCAATCCATTTGTTGCAGAACACCAGTATTTTCCAGAATGATTTCTTTTAGCTATAAAACTCCAAGAATCACCCTGAGCCACAGTCTTCCCATTTTCAATCCATGTTATAGTTGGAGGTGGGTTGCCAGTGGCAGTGCAGTGGAAAGTCACTTCCTTATTTTCCACAATTGACTGATCCTGTGGTTTGATTTTGAGACTAGGAGGAACTGTAGAGTTAATGATACAAATTATTGTGCAGAAGTTGTGTTTCTTATTAGTGTACATTAGATACATAACATACATATTTAAACATTGAATTTCAAAACTATAACTTATTACAATGTTATCTTATACCCTCACATGACGTCTGCCTGGTTATAAATTTTATCCATGATAGATAGGAAAGATGGCTGAACTTTGCATGACAATTGTTTTTCGTGTTGAAAATTTAATAGTTAATAAAATATATTTAGAAAATATTAAGTTTTTGATCAAAACTAACATTGAACATCAAGATTAGCACTGGCATTCACAGTTGAGTTAAGTCCATTCTCTGCTGAACACCAGTATTCTCCAGACTGATTCCTGTTGGTCTCAAGACTCAGAATGTTTCCATCAGCAATAGTCTTCCCATCTCTAATCCATGTTATCCTCGGGGTTGGGTTGCCAGTGGCATTGCAATAGAATGTTACAGTTTCAGATTCCATGACTGTGTGATCTTCTGGGGTTGTGATTAAACTTGGTGTAACTGAAAAAAAAAGGTACACATATATCTTGATGTATTTATCCAGTTATTACTTAAATATGGTAATTGCATGCAGGACAAATTGGGGCATCAAATAGATAATAAAATAAGGGGTTGATCCTAAAGTTCATCCAGCTGACCATTGCATTATGCTGGGCAACTATTTAATGATAAACATATTAAGTAGAACCCCACTAACTTGAATTCCGTTGAGTCAAACCCCCTGGTAACCCAAACAAGATCGAATTTCCCTTGACCCTATTTTCTTGGTCATTTAAAACCAGCTACCTCGAATTCCTGCCACGTGAAGCTCCAACCATTTTCGTTTCCGTTAGGAGTTTGGGTTATCAGGGTTCTACTGTACATTCAGTCAGCCCCCTCAAAGACTAACTCCTTTTTGTTCAATGCCAAGTGTCTGTGTTACTGAGGATCTTTGATCAGAATAGTTTAGATATTAAATGTGAGCAAAGAATTTGAATGGAAGAAACTCTGCCATTTTATTCAGTGTTCTACAGAGAAAGAGCTGACTGCGTACTGATGTGTACTTACACTGCACATCCAAGGAAGCACTTGTGTTAACTGTTGTATCTAAATTATTGTCTGCTAAACACCAGTATTTTCCAGAGTGGGTTCTGTTGGCTGTGAGACTCAGCGTTTCTCCCTCGGCCAAACGGTTTCCGTCTTTTAGCCATGTTATCGTTGGGGTTGGGTTTCCAGTGGCTGTACAGTGGAAAGTGATTTGTTCACTTTCCATGACAGTCTTATCAGATGGTTTGGTAGAAAACATTGGAGGAACTAGGAATAAAATGCGAGAAATTATGAAGGGATCTACAACTATACTTCAATGTAGAAATTTTTTTCAAAATTGTCAACAGATACATACATTGAACATCAAGATTAGCAGTGGAATTCACTGTTGAGTTAAGTCCATTTTCTGCTGAACACAGGTATTTTCCAGACTGATTCCTGCTGGTTCCAAAACTGAGTGTGTCTCCCTGACCTACGATCTCTCCATCTTTCATCCATGTTATCTTTGGGATTGGATTTCCTGTGGCGTTGCAGAAGAATATTGCTTCGGCTCCCTCCATAACTGTTTGGTCAGTTGGTGTTGTGATCAAACTTGGTGCAACTAAAAAAAAAATACACGTTCTTCATTCAGACTCCCTGCTTTTGGAATGACAGAAGTATTGATACTTTTGAGTATGCATAACGCTTTACGCAAGATCCCCAATCTCATATGTGGGTCTTTTTTTTCTCATGGCCAATGCAAGCCATCATGCAAGCTTCATATTTAACTAGCAGTGGAAAGTGGAAGGCCTCGAGTGGATAGACTGACAATGCCTTTACTAGATATAGGCCTCCTTAATCAGCCCGTGTCTGAAACGGAATAGGGTGAGGCTGTAATAAGAAAGTAGCTCCTTAAACTTTCCGACTCAGATAAGAACACGGTAGAGAGGAGCAATTTTTAAGTTTTTTTGAATCACATGGATCCTTTACTCTACAGATACATGTATATGCAAGTTGAATTTATTTACATTGAACGTCAAGATTTGCACTGGCACTTGCAGTAGAATTCAATCCATTTTCTGCAATGCACAAGTATTTTCCAGAGTGATTCTTGTTGGTTTCGAAGCTCAGACTTTCTCCTTCAGCAACAACCACCCCATCTTTTTTCCATGTTATTTGTGGGGTTGGGTTTCCTGTGGCATTGCAGTGGAATGTTGCTTTGGCTCCTTCAATAACTCTCTGGTCAAGTGGTGTTGTGATTAGACTTGGTGGAACTGAAATAAATAAATACCTTTATGTCATTAATGTTCAATTTTGATACACTTTTTTCACGGAGAGCCATCTGTTAGTTCGGGAAATGTGTGAAGTGTACTGTTACCAGAAGATAGGAACAACTGGCTATCTCTTACCGCAGGCTCATGTGTTTAGGTTTTGCCTTACTGCCCCTTTTTTGGGCACAGCCGCCTTCTGCCCTATCAACAGCCTTTTACGGAAAAACACTTGAAACCCTTGTACAAATAACAAACTTGTAAGCTGAATTTCAAAGTTGCTGTTCCCCTTCATTTCGTTGTTTTTATACTCACACTGTACATCCAGATAAGCACTGGCATTAACACTGTCCTCTAAGCCATTTTGTGCCAAACACCAGTATCTTCCACTTTGACTCCTAAGGGCCTTGAAGCTGAGTTTATTTCCTGTGTCTACTTCCTCCCCGTCTTTGATCCACGTTATTTTTGGAGTTGGGTTCCCAATGGCACTACATTGAAGATTCACTTCTTGGTTTTCCATGACTACTGTGTCCGATGGTTTGGTGATTAAACTAGTTGTGTCTGAAATAGAAATAAAGATATCATGGCCTCGTGAATCACAGAGTAATTTATCGAAATGGCTCAGGAATTAAATCAAATACTTACATTGAACGTTGAGATGTGCGCTTGCACTAACAGTAGAATTCAAGCCATTCTCTGCTGAACAAACATATTCGCCAGATTGAGTTCTGTTTGTTTCGAAGCTCAGTGTGTCTCCGTGAGTCAAAGTCTTCCCATCTTTCTTCCATGTTATCGTTGGGGTTGGATTTCCATCAGCCACACAGAGGAATGTCGCTAGGGTACCCTCAAGAGCGGTGTGGTTTGTCGGAGTGGTGGTCAAACTTGGCCTATCTGAACCGAAAAGGCAAAATTAAAGGTGAGTACTATGTAGCAAATGTATATGTGGCCTTCTTTACCATGTGCTTTAAACAATTCTCAATTGAAACTCGAACGTCATTATGGATTTCATTAGTTTTCCCTTACTTTACTTTAAGATTGAACCAGGGAACACGGACCCCGCTCTGAACCAATCAAATGCAGAGCTTAAACAACCTTGTCTTTCTTGCAATTCAGGCAATTTTTTGTTTTTAGAAGAAGGCTCTTGGGCCACCTGTGAAATTGTTCCTTGACTGTCCTGATTATCCGTTACCATTCATTTTGTTTTACATTACGGTATGTGAACGCGCTTTGTCGTCGTCTTAGTAAAGAGCTGCACAGCTTTTATTTAGCACAACCCGCAGCCGTAAAGAGTTGTACAATTACTTAGCTTCTCTCAGCACAGAATAAGCGCAGTGTTGCTCCAATAGTGTAGCAGTTCACTTACACAGGACATCGAGATTAGCACTTGCGTTGGCAATAACATCTAATCCATTGTTCGCTGAGCACCAATATTTCCCAGACTGATTCCTGTTTGTTTCAAAGCTCAGTGTTTCTCCTGATCCTACTGTCTTTCCATTCATTGTCCATGTTATCTTTGGAACAGGGTTACCGGTGACTGTGCAGTGGAACGTGGCTGTGGTGCCCTCCATGATGGTCTGGTTTACTGGAGTAGTAACTAAACTTGGTGGAACTGCAAAAAAGCGTATAGTCGGTTTTGGTTTATGGTGCAAGATTAATATGACGTTAACAGAGGCCAGTTAGCCGTGGGCAGAAAGCTTTCAAATCTAACCAGTTACTTACATTGAACATTAAGATGCGCACTTGCGCTCGCAGTAGAATTTAAACCATTATCTGCCGAACATAAGTATTTGCCAGATTGAGTTCTGTTTGTTTCGAAGCTCAGTACGTCTCCTTCAGCCACAGTCTTCCCATCCTTCTTCCATGTTATCTTTGGGGTTGGATTTCCATCAGCCATACAGCGGAATGTCGCTGAGGTACCCTCAAGGGCGGTGTGGTTTGTCGGAGGGGTGGTCAAACTTGGTTTATCTGAACGGAAAAAGCAAAATTAAAAGTGAGTACTCTGTAGCAAATGTGTATATGGCCACTTTTACCATGTGCCTTGAACAAGTTTAATTGAAACTCGAGTTTAGTTTTCCCTCACTTTACTTTAGGATTGAACCAGGGAACATGGAGCCCACTCTGAACCAATCAAATGCAAAGCTCAAACAACCTTGTCTTTCTTGCAGGTCTGGCAATTTTTTTGTTTAAAGAAGAAGTCTCATGGGCTACCCGTGAAAATATCCTTTGACAGTTTTGAGTACCCGTGACCATTCATTTTGTTTTACAATACGCTATGTGAACGCGCGCTTTATCGTCATCATAGTAAAGAACTTTACAGCTTTTATTTAGCTTAACCCGCAGCAGGAGAGAGTTGTACAATTACTTAGCTTCTTCTGGCACAGAATTAGTGCAATGTTGCTCCCATAGTGAGGCAGTTCACTTACACAGGACATCGAGGTTAGCACTTGCGTTGACAATAACATCTAATCCATTGTTCGCTAAGCACCAATATTTCCCAGATTGATTCCTGTTTGTTTCAAAGCTCAGTGTTTTTCCTGATCCTACTGTCTTTCCATTCATTGTCCACGTTATCTTTGGAACTGGGTTACCAGTGGCGGTACAATGGAACGTGGCTGTGGTGCCCTCCATGATGGTCTGGTTTACTGGAGTAGTAACTAAACTTGGTGGAACTGCAAAAAAGCGTATAGCCAGTTTTTGTCTATGTTGCAAGATTAATATGACCTTAACGGAGAGGCCAGTTAGCCGTGGGCAAAAAGCTTTCAAATCAAACCAGCTACTTACATTGAACATCTAGATGTGCGCTGGCGCTCGCAGTAGAATTTAAACCATTCTCTGCCAAACAAAAATATTCGCCAGATTGAGTTCTGTTTGTTTCAAAGTTCAGTGTGTCTCCTTGGGACACAGTCTTCCCATCTTTCTTCCATGTTATTTGTGGGATTGGATTTCCATCAGCCACACAGCGGAATGTCGCTGAGGTACCCTCCAGGACGGTCTGGTTTGTCGGATTAGTGATCAAACTTGGTTTATCTGGACCGAAAAAGGTATAATTAAAGGTAAGTACTATGTAGCCAATGTGTAATTGGCCTTCTTTACCATGAGCCTAAAACAATGCTTGATTGAAACTCAAAGGTTATCCTGGATTGTACTGGTTTTACATTACTTTACTTTGCGATTGGACCAGGAAACACGCAGCACCTTCTGAACCAATTAGATGCAAACGTCCATGTCTTTCTCGGGCAGTTTTTCTGTTCTTACCAAAAGTCTCAGGAGCTTTATTCGTGATTTTCTTCATAGTTTAGCAATTTACTTACACAAAACATCGAGATCAGCACTGGCGTTGACAACATCTAATCCATTCTCCACTGAGCACCAGTATTTCCCAGTGTGATTCCTATTAGTTTCAAAGCTCAGCGTATCTCCGGATCCAACCTTCATCCCATCTACTGTCCATGTTATCTCTGGAGCTGGGTTTCCGGTGGCGGTGCAGTAAAATGTTGCCGAGGCGCCCTCCATGACAGTCTGGTTGATTGGAGTGGTTTTTAAACTTGGCGGAACTACAAGAAAAGCAAATTGTCAATTTTCGTAGGTCTGCCTGGTGTACTGTGGTCTGCATGGTGTACTGTGGAAATCATTGTCACAGTTAAATCAATCCCCGGATCGCTAGCAAGCCGCTAAGTCGAGGTGATCTTTTAGTCTCTATTTGGGATTTTTTTCTTATCCTTTCTCCTTTTTTTGAGTGAGCGGGGATCGGCTTGACCAATTTTTTCTTAGTGTGTATGGTTCTTTTTATCTCACATTGGACTATTCAAGAAAACTTGTTGAGCTCTAAGCCAAAAAGATGAAACCAATTTCGAGTACGTCACTTGTACTTTCGCCACGACTGAAGCCAATTACGTGTTTTAATTTTGGGTTTTTTAATTTTCTTCTTGTGATATTTTGCAGACATTTTATTGGTCGTTACAACTACTTTGGGTTTGGATTTTTGGCAGTCGCTCGAATATTGGACGACGATCGTGGTTACAAGACTTTTAAATCTTACCTGTTGGTATGAGGCCTGAATGATGTGTGTAGAGACTATAGAACCCGTTAATTAACTCTCTTATTCTGACTTTCATTGAAAATATTAAGAGTCATTTCTTACATTGAACATCAAGCATAGCACTAGCATTAACAGTGGAATTTAATCCGTTCTCTGCTAGACACCAGTACTTTCCAGAATCATTTCTGTGGGTTTCAATATTTAATGTTTGTTTTTGAGACACAGTTTTCCCATCTTTCATCCATGTTATCTTTGGTGCTGGATTTCCAGTGGCCTCGCAGTGGAATGTTGCCGTGTTACCCTCTAAGACAGTTCGATCCGAAGGAAGGGTAGTCAAGCTTGGTTTGTCTGAAATAGATTAAGTTGAAATAAATTTCTCAGCAATTTTCCGTTGCCTACTGTTACAGTTTCTGTATAATTAAGCGACCTGGTAGTGTATTGTTATCCTTTTGAGTGAGTTAATGAATTAGTCATAAGCAGGTTTGATGAGAAAAATATTTTGCATGCCTATTGTGACGATTAAGCGGACTTGGAGTACTGCTAATCGCTCCTGATAACATTCTAGCCCCTCCCCCACCAATACTACCTCGTCGAATTTCCTTTGCAGTTTGTTGTTAGTAATAATTGATATACCCTGAGATGAGTAAAACGTAAACTCCAGCTGTTTCTACCTGTGGGGCCGTGGATAGGAAACTAAACTCAACTACGGTATAGTGATACTTCACGAACAGAGTGCTTTAATGGTAAATTTCGCGGTCAACACGCACGTATCTCAAACTGAGATACGACGTTTATAACAGTCTAGTCTTTCACTGTACGCATGGTACTCACAAAGAACATCCAGGACAGCACTGGCATTAGCGTTAAAATTCAACCCATTTTCTGCTGTGCAAACGTATTCTCCAGACTGATTCCTGCTGGTTTCGAGGCTCAATACTTCTCCAGACTCCACATCTTCGCCATCTTTTGTCCATGTTATCGTTGGAGCCGGGTTCCCGGTGGCAGTGCAATGAAATGTTACAGTTTTGCCCTCCATGATGGTCTGGTTTACTGGAACAGTTGTTAAACTTGGTGGAACTGCGAACGAAGCGGACAGGAATTGTTTTGTTGGTTTTTAGAGCTCTTTGTTTATGAACTCGCTGTCGGTTTCTTTGCAAATTTTAATAGTTCACAGGTTGAACAACCCCTAGAACCCTGAAAAGAACACTTAACATAGAGGTTGCATAACTTGAAGGTGTAGACGAGGTTGTAAAAATCATTTTTCATCCTACATCTACAGCGTACTGCTTTAACCCCATACTTAGAAAAACGACAAAAAGTCATCGCTTACATTGAACATCAAGCATAGCACTAGCATTAACAGTGGAATTTAATCCGTTCTCTGCTAGACACCAGTACTTTCCAGAATCATTTCTGTGGGTTTCAATATTCAATGGTTGTTCTTGAGAAACAGTTTTCCCATCTTTCATCCACGTTATCTTTGGTGCTGGATTTCCAGTGGCCTCGCAATGGAATGTGGCCGTGTTACCCTCCAAAACAATTTGATCCGAAGGAAGGGTAGTCAAGCTTGGTTTGTCTGAAATAATAATAAAATGCGTTCGATAATAACGTCAATGGTTTATAAAATTGAGAATGTAATGAGAATATGTTTTATTAAGTGAAAGGTTGGCTTAACACAATGCTTTTTCTGCAAATTCTTCAAATGAAACCAAGAGGAAATCAATTTGATATCCTCTTAATGAAACTCTTGAGTCACGTGGCTCAAACTGAAATATTTGGCATGATGTTATCTCGTTTCCGGCGCGATTTCTACTTACATAGGACATTTAGAAAAGCGCTTCCATTGGCGGTAATATTTAATCCATTTTCTGCCGAACACCAGTATTTTCCAGATTGATTTCTGTTGGTCTGAAAGCGTAGAATGTTCCCAGATCCCACTCCCTTGCCATCTTTTGTCCATGTTATGTTTGGAGTGGGGTTTCCTGTGGCACTACATTGGAATGTTACGGTGGTACCCTCAAGGACTGTCTGGTTTGAAGGCTCAGTTGTCAACATTGGTGGAACTGCAGTTAACAAAATGAATAGTGAACGCACCACTGACGTGACATTTTCAACCGCTGATAATAGTTTTTAGACGACGGCGTTACGGCCGCCAAAGCGGGAAAAAGGGAACTTCAAATCTAATTTTCTCGTAAATAACAAGAATTGAACGAAAAGAAATATCGAGACTTAATCTTATTCCTCTAAAGAAAGCTAGAGATGAAAGCGAATAAGATGAAAATTTCAGCCTTCAGTTCCCCTCTAATGCGTTCTGGCACATGTACAGGTTGCGCCGAATAACCACAGCCAAACTCGCATATTAGGCGAGTCATAATCATCATCGTCATTACTGACCCCTGAGTTGATTTCCGCTAAAGTCGTCGAAGCACCAGTCGCCATCACCGTCAAAAGTCTTTCTCAGAACAAACGATCAAACGCAGAAGTATGGATGACATCCGTTCAAATTGATTTCCTTTCGTGATAAAATAGCTGTAGAAATTTGTTACTGATTTGTAAAACTGACATTGCTTACCAAGAATAATTGGCACTGTGATTATAGAGTCTTCGCCCATAAGGTTGCTTGCCTTGCAAGTGTAGTTGACCCCATCTTGATCCTTATCGACTTCTTTTATAACCAGTGTTCCGTCCATATCCAACTTGTAGCGACTGTTCTCTTCGTAAGTAATAAGCTCGCCATCTTTAAACCAGCGATATGATGGTTGCGGCGCTCCTGTGCTAGGCTTACAAGGTAACCTAGCCTCTTTCTCATTGAGCAGATGAAAAGGACCAAACTGCACGTTTTCAAAAGATGGCTTCCAAGCTGTCGCGAGAATGATATGAAGTAATTTTGTGAGTTTGTTATGAGAGTTATACCGAGCAATATGGCTAACCATTTTCATCAGAAACCTCTCGATTCTAAGTCGATGGCCACTATGAGTTCGAGATTCTTCAATGGCGAAACAGTGGTTGTATGCCGACATTAGTTATTTTGGCGGATAAAAGGCATCAGCCGAGTCTTGGTGGTGGTGTCAAATTCAAGGTATCGACCTGTCAACAGTTTTACAGTTTTTCGATTACGAAAGGGTGTAATTACGTCTCATAATGGAGACTGTATTGCTTGTTCAGTATGCAGGAAAGCTATATTTTGCATTAACTTGCATTCAGATCTCTATTGGTAATGTTGTAATGTAGGAAGGCAACATTACTAAGCTTATTCTAGTTTCTCTACTGAATAATCCTCACAAATGGGATAGGAGTCCTTGGCTGGTAAGTCACCATGGTGGTGACCATGACTGTTGGTCAGATTGCCGGAAGGTTGCTTGTAATTCAAGAGTTAAGTTTATGGAGAAGACTGCTACCCGATAACCAGCCAGGGATAAAACCTGGACATCTCAATCCGCAGTATTACACGCTAACCACCAGGCCCCGGTTGTTCGAAGGGTAGATAATGCATCTACCGGGTAAATATATATCCACTGAATAGTGTAATACGCTTTGTTAACACTTATCCACTTTATGGCGGTCTATCTGTTGGATAGATTTATCCGTCCTTTTTACAACTGGCCTCAGTCATCTAAAAGTCTTCCGAGTGCACTCTTAATTTTTGCTTGCGATTAGGTACCTGAAACGTAGACCCAAGTTGAAGATATGATCGTGCCATGAGCATTGGTGGCCTCGCATTGATAAACGCCTGTATCGTCAAGATTCACATCTGTTAGATGTAACTTGTTGTCAGCTAAGACAAGACGCCTAAATTTTCCAAAAGGAAAACATATAATTAGTAGATTCGGGAGCTAATTACAAAGTTTAAAACGCATGAACGCGAATACTTTTTGTGTTTTTCGAGATGCTCTGGGCGTTTCCATCATTCAAAGGGCTGTAGGCCCTCAAGGCAAATTGGGTTAAATTTTCCTCAAAATATTTAGAAATGAATCGATATATAACATTTTGACCTATTTAAGATGTTTGATTTAGAGGTAGAATAATACATAACTCATTTTGAGGGAGAGTAACACATAAAACTCTTTTATTCCTTATTCGTCATTGAACAATCAGTAGCGAAATATTTTGTGTTTGATGAGCAGAGTGGTTCAGTGATCTCATATCTTCGACATTCATCCAAAATAATTCGGGATACGTGAATGTCACTGCAAATGGCACTTGATTCTGAAACTTTTTTGCGCTAGTCAAGCTAAATAGCTCTTCCCAGTTCTCGTTTTGCTCGTCTCTTTAACCGCGCGCTAACTCACCTCATTTCACGTCAAGAGTTTACATTCAAAGGCAATAACTCTTGTTTGGGTTTATTTTGAGCTTTTGTGGTTTCATTTTACACGAAGTATAGGATGCAACGCTATCAAGTTTACCTCCCTGTGTTTTAAGAAATATTATTATGCAAACTTACCCAGAAGGCTGAAGTACTTCTCCATTTTTATACCATGTCGTTATTGCAGCAGGGTTTGCTGTTACTTGACAATCCAACGTGCCGTTTTTTTCAATGACGATGGTGATGTCATTTGGTGGAGGATTCGCTGCCCATTTTGGTGGAACTGCGAAGTGGAATAGGATCGCAAGGGTGTTAGAGCATAATGTTATTGTTTTTTGTTTGTTTATTTTTTGGTTTTGTTCTTCATTCCTTTTTTTTTCTGTGTTTCCTGGTTTGTTCGTGTTCTTAATAATCAGAATTACCTTCAATCTCAAGGGAATCTCAAAATAATATTAGGCTAAAGAGTTGAAAAATTAAAGAGAACACAGAAAACCACAAGGATATAAGTATGATTGGGTATGAAAAAGAATTGTTTAGGATTTCTAATGAGGCGCTTATAAACTTTGAGGTGAGCGGGTTTTTTTTAAACGAGGAAGTACTCCAAGAAGCACTTTTCGCGTAGGCAATCGCGTTTTCGTACAAATAAGTGAGTAGGTGTATTATTTATCCTCCTAGATCAGTCAAGTATCCTTGACAGTGCGCTGATACTCTGATAATGTAGTGCCCTGAAAACAGCACAAAACAGTAACCCTGTCCACGGTTCGAAAGCGAAACTCTCGACCTAAATTCTAGCAGATTTGCCAGCAGTTCACTATGTCTCTTAAAGGTCACTTAAATACGTTATTCTGTCGTACAGGCTATGTTCAGACAAGCCATTCTGTTGAACAGAGTATGTGCAGACGAGTTATTCTGTTCTACAGTGTGAGTTCAGACAAGTTATCCGTTGTTACATTGTTCCTGGTTACGACTCAAAGACGACTCAACGGTTCCTCTTTCGTTTACAGGCTTCACACTAAGGTCAACGCACAATACGCCAAACGGAATATAGGGACTTTTGTTACCTGACTATAAGGACCCAAGTTTCTGATAACTCCTGCGGTAAGGCAGGGAGTGCGTAATTTTAAAGGTATTTTTATTTACAATAGGATTTTAGTAATAGCAAGGAGTTTCCCCCTCCCCCCGCCTAACTCGTAAGGGAAGAATTACTCGCTAGAACCTGAATCCTTACCTTCTATTGTAAGTGTAGTATTGGAAGTGATTGGGTTGCCTGTGTTCATAGCGTTTTCGGCCTCACAAGTGTAGACGCCTTGGTGATTGGTCTCATCAACACTTTCAATGGAAAGACGTCTTCCAAAGAAAGTGGGAGAAATGCTAAACGAGTTCTGTCCATCTGTTAGCTTGCGTCCATCCTTCTTCCAAGTAATTTGTGGTGTTGGTCTTACATTAGATAAGAGTAAAACGTCATTAAACTTCGAATCAACCATCAACGCTAATAGTAACAGCAATGAAATAATTGACTGTGATCCTTATCTTTCCGATACGACACGCGACGTAAAGAGCTGGTAATCGAACAGAATAGTTTGGTTTCTATTGGCGCCTTTTTTAAACGAAATTTACTGGAAGTAAACTGACTCTTCAGTTATTCCAGTTCCGTTGTACCTGCCCACGAAGACTGAGCAATTTTCGTGACAACTCTTGAAAGATTTGCTCTCTACTGTGCTAAAGGTGACATTCCGAGAAAACTAACCTTCCATTTGCAAAGCAATACAAAATCTTGCTCTTTCCTTCTACGGCACTCTCTTTCTCATTTGGGGTTAGTAACCACGAGGGTGAAGTAGAGTTTTCAGAATCTGTGAAAATTTAAAGATATGTTTAAAATAAGGCAACTTGTTTAGTTTTGTTTTGTTTGTTTGTTTGTTTGTTTGTTTTTGCACCTTCCCTTATGGCGCAGCTAAATTTTCCCGTTTTGAGTTCGCCACTTGAAGGCTCATACTCGAGTCAGAGGTTGGTGAAAGCATGTATGCAGCGAAAACTTCTGGACTAACGCTAACATCTACTCAGTAAATGTTAATAGGTAATTGGTACTGCAGTTGTCGATGGCTTGACCCAAATGGAACGGAGTAACGAGTTTTACACAAGTAAGTGTCCGCTTATGAGAAAGGCGAACATACCACGAGCCTCGGAGAGGTTCTTTTCTACAGTAATGAAAAGGAAGGAAACATAGAGATCACTAGGTTTGCCAACGCCTGCGCACACTTTTCACAAATTCGAGTCAATTCATGGGCCAAGGGTATGTCTTCAGTAGCTACCGAAGCTTTTCTCTGATTTGGTGGCTAGCAGTGACCGATGATATTGGTATACCCCTTAGATGAGATACAGGAATGGTATGCTTTTATTTTAATACAGTTCTAAGGCAGAAAAGATACCTCTACTCGTTTTCTCGATCCTGATTTGGGGGAAAAGAAAGAAATGCTGCACTAGGGAATAACAAATGATATTTTCTTGCTTCTGCATTACCTGTTTGATTTTCATTGATCTTCTCCAGTCTCAAGGTCCCAGATCTTTGAAAAGAATTCGCTCCAGAAATGGTACACTTGATGCCATCGTACGATTCAATATCATCGATGTCTTTTTGCGTTAAATACGTAATATACAAAGTACCATTGCTTAAAATAGACCGACGTTCATTTCTTGCGAATGTGTATTGTGCATCGTTACCGATGTTTCCCCAGCTGTAGACCACCCCATGGCTGTATGAATGAGGTGGACAGTCGTAGTAGAAAGACTCGCCGAGATTTACTTTTACCACGTGATCCTTGCGATCGATGAAGTTGCCAACGACTAGGAGGAAAAGAAATTATGTAAAACGAATTAAAATGTATGGGGGAAGAAAAAAGACTGATGGTTTTCTACAGCTAGAGTGACACAGGCGAACTCGAAAGAGGAAATCCCGAGTTCTTCCAACAGGAGTCGAGTCGATATCTTACGATTAGTTGTTCGAATGATTATCGCCCAAACTGTAAAAAAACTTGGCAAGTGATAGCTAGGCCGTATATCAAAGTAGCTTCATGGAAAGCTTTTTCAGAATATAATTGAATAAGCGTGGAGCGAAAAAAAAAACTGAAGTCCTCAACAAGGACGAACCTTTGGCCTTTCGATAACGGCCCAATAAGCAACAAAAGCATTGTTGGCAACCTGGCGAAATAGAGCCAAGGTACGAGAAAATCAACTCGGACTGTCAAACTTAATTCCTAGTTAGCCTGTGCGCTGTCTAGCGCCTGTTACATCTCAGCATTTCATTACGTTTCCTTAACAATTCGTTGACACTCATATATATATATATATACTCGTGTGTGGACAGAAGCACTATGAAGCGTATTTCTTTGCCAGAAGCAAAGCATTATCACCTGGCTAGCCTTCGAGCCAACCCTAGTTGAGGGCGCTGACCACTATGTGAACATCTAGCTCAGAGTTGAAGTCGTTGCAGACCGATCGGACTGCTGATGTGAAATGTTCAACAAGTTATAATACGATTCACATTGGTACCTGTGACCGCGACTTTAAGTTTCCTGCTAAATGCCACAGCGCCAGTGACTTCGTCCTTGACAAAGCACTGGTATGTACCACTGTGGATTGCACGGAGGTTCTTGCCAGTCAAGGTACCATCTTCACTCAGGTCAAAGTGTGAGCTGTCAGTTATAGCTGTCCCATTATGCTTCCAGGTCCACGTTAAGTTGGATCCGGTGGCATTGCAAGGAAGTGTGAAGCTTGGATCTGACTTGAATTTCACGTCCTCTGGTTTAACCAAATCCTCTTTTGGGAAATTTGTTATCACTGGAGGGTTGCCTTGAGCTAAGACACAAGGAACATTCTATGTATTTAAGCTAGCACGTTTTTCTTTGCAAATGCGCTTCTCAAGGAAACTTTGGTACTTATTTACTAAAAGCAAGAGACTTCTTAAAGAAAATAAATCTCCTCGGGAGTTGAGTTTTCCTTAAAACCCTCAGAATACAGGTTCCTTGTAAGACGTCCTGTTAAGGGAAGTGGCTACCATCTACGTTGCCAAGGAAAGGAATGAGGGCATTGCTGACAGGAGCAACTTCTGGTAATTATTAAACTTTACAGTCTGGTGTTAGGGCACCTTGCGTATGAGCTTGAGAAAGAGATTCCGGTGGAAGTCACTTATAAAATGGTCGTATGAGCAAAATTCAAATGCTAGCCCTTGCAAGACGAACCAGAAGAGACGTTGCAAATTTAAAAATTTGATTTACATATATTCAGTTTTCGGCTACTGAACTACAGTGTACTGGACCATTTAGAATGATAACAAAATTGATCTAATTGTGAAAATAATATCAGCATCAGATACAAACAAATTACTTTGATTTACCTGGGACTAGGACTGCCAGTGCGATCAAAATCCAAATAGGCTCTGTCCACATTTTTCAGTGGCGGGTTGTCTGTAGAAATATAACAACATTTCAGAATTTGTTTTTCTTTCAGCTGAAAGACAGTGATCTCAGAACAGATGCAAGTGATTAAGATGTTATGAAGTGTTTTATGAGGGTTAAATTGAGCGCTTGTTCGCGGTTGGGGCATCCCGAGCAATGATGGAAATTTTCTTCAAAAAGCAATCCGTTTCAATCCTTTCCATTCTTGATCATTTTCGCTCCTTTTTTGCTTATCCCTATATCATCTTTGGTGTTTATCTATCCTTTAAAACGATTATTTCTAGGCTTTATCCTATTTAACAGCCATTCCATGACTCCAAATGTAGTTCCTACATCACGGAGTATCTTGCAACGGTTTCATTGTACAAGTCTAGTTGAAAGGAAGAAATTGCGTTCCAAAGAAACACTGACAACTTCTTGTAACATACTCGAACTCTCTTCTAAGCATCAAATGAAACTGACCCTGGCCCATCTGAAATGGTCGAATATAACTACGAGAATCTTAGAATTTAGATCAATCAGCGAGAATCAGGACAGTAAACTACATCACCTAATTCCTGAAGCCTACAGCCCTCATTATAATTTCAGGCGCCAAAGAACGTACAATGTACCAGCAGCCAAGACAAAGCGTTTTGCTAATTCGTTTTTCGTGAAGTGTGCGGCTGTAACCAACTCAAGTTTGAGATGAATGAGAACCCCTTTTAACAGAACTTTAAGCCATTATATTTATAATTGTACATTAGTAGCTTGTAAATAATTACGCAATTCAGTATTTTACTGCGATGTGATTTAATAATAAACCAGTCTATTATTATTATTATTATTATTTGAGAATCAGTTTGAACCACTGAAATCTTGATGCAGGAAAGTCTACAACTGGTCGGTAGTAATAAATATGGAAACTTCATGCTTATTCAACCGGCAACTAGATTAAGGGGTAAAGTTAGGCCAGTTATTCCTTTTTTTTGGAAATGATGGTGTACCATTCTCCATTCTTGCCATTCTTTAAGGGAATATAAATGATCAAGCGGCATGTTATAAAACCAACGACTGTAATAACTTATGAGGCTGCTGTTGGGTTAGAAATCACTCTGGTTTGTCGTCCAATTGTCTGACTCACGTTTCTTCTTTGTTATATATCTCCAAATTAATTATCCACTAGTTTCAAGCGCTAATTTGTTTTCCATAATCGCTAACCTCCCTCTTCCTGTTTTTCGTAACGGTCTCGTCACTTCGAAATATCAAGGTCTATACTTCTAAAGGTCGTCATTTGCAATCCGCATTCGGTTAATCTACTTCATCCGTCTCAATCTTTGTTGTATTTTTTTTCCTTGTCTCTTTGGTGTTTGTCTGCCATCGTACATTGTGACGATTTATTTTCGTTTTAATTAAATTTAATTAAATTACATTTAGAGAATTTTAAAAGCTAAAATCAGCCGAAATAAAGTACTTTCTGCGGGAGGGCTATGAGTCGTTTTCGCCGGTGTTTAGATCAAACGGAATCTCAACGATTTAGAATTATGAAACTTCTGAAGTTGCCGAAAAGCAATCCATTTGACAAGTGACTGTTATTTTAGTCTATTTTCTTACCATGACAAAGGCCAAAGACAGTTGTTCTTGTTACGACACTGTCGCGCTTTTTTAAGAAAAATTTACTTTCGATGTGTCTTGTAATAAAATGTTAACATTGGAATTAATCGTTGTACTTATCAATACTTCAACTGACACCAATGAAACACTTACATCATGAATCACCCAATTTTCCAGTTCACAGGGGAACAGGGAAATTAGAGGAACAAAAGTCTTAAGCGCTGATTTCTTTCCTCCAGTAGAAATTTACTGACGCTCAAAATGTTTCTGAAGGACAAGAGGAGCAGCCAAAGGACTACGAAAACAGGAAGACTACTAGATAAGCTGGATTTAAGAATAGACTGTCTCTAATTTTGAGAATATTGTCGACATCGTTGTTGCAGCCAGGCCACCCTAAACTGCTTATCGCCTTTAACGCGTCCGGTTGAACATGGGATTTCCGCTGACAATGCAGTTACAATGCGATCTTGAGTCTGGTCACCCATGTTGTGTATGAGACGCTCGTCCGTTTGGTTTGATAAGAGTCACGACTTCCGAACCCTAAACTTAAACTATTTTTTCTTTAACTCAGTTGAGGATTTAACCGTTTCTTGACACCTCCTGCACAGGACGTTTTTTGAGTGTATTATGAAACGCATGGTAAGAAGGGCGCTAATGAATATCAAATCTGGGAGTTTTCTAGGTAAGAATTACATAATAATCAGCGTACTTTAGAAAACCTCGTGTGGGTCGTTATTAGCCACAGTATTTTAATTACATCCTGTGCTAAATCATTGTTTATGTGTACATAAAAAGATAAAAACCTCTTCAAAGTTGTGAGCTCGCCAATTCTGAAAGTGCACGTACATTTTATAAAGGTACGCCCACACTGTCTCACAGAAAATCTCCCTAGGGATGGATAAATGAAGATCGAAGATAAAGTACTTTACTTATTCTTAATTACACAATTATATGTAAAGCAAGTGCAAGTAAGATTGCGTGCTCTTATCTACACCGGGAAAGAAGATAATCCAAACTTTCAATAGTGGTACCAAAATCTTTCATTGGTTGTATTCTTTGAGCTCTAGAGGAAAAACGTCACGACGTTTATCGACGCGTTGACATGTAAAATCACCTTCAGTCTGAAGGGGAATGACGAAATTATAGTTTGATAAGAAGAAAAACACCAGCAAGTAAATCTAAAGGAAAAGGGAAGACTGATGATTGACAAAAATGGAAAAAAGTCAACTGTTTGCTTAACTTTTAAAGATTCCCAAACCATGACCACCGTGACCTTAACATAAAATTTGGTAGCGACAGACTCTCCTATCTGGAAAGAATATAACGGTCATTCTGACCTGAACACAATGATTTCTAGGGCTTTCTGAAGGGGTTTATAATGTATACGCGATGTACATTGTAAGTGTAAAGTTTGAGCGACCTGCGGTTGTAATTTTTACTTTATGTATAGTATAAAGGATATCAAGGAAATCTGGAAGTCTTCTTTGCGCGTTTTTGCAATGAACGGTTCAGCTTGTTATTATATTTTACCAAATGCAGTTAAGAAATTAAGGTGTAGTAACCAATGAAAAATCACGGGAGGGATAATGATAACACCGCATGACACGAGACATGCACAAGTTTTGAGCGGATTGTAAATGAATGACATAGATTACCATTCGATGACGTCGCCGTAAAGAAATCGTACCTAGTTTGTATCCACACCGGAAAACATCAGTTCAATATAAAGATAAAAAGTTCAAATTTGTTAGAGGACTTCAGGTGGCAGTAACAGGTGAAATGTTTGGGATACTGTGCATGTAACGTTCATGAAACTTACGTGGAGACTGACACAGTCTGAACTTAACCGTTTGATGGTTACTTCGTAGCTAAACTTTTTGTCAACCTGAGGTGCCGAACGAAAAAATGGAACACTGTATCATGAAATCTAGCTTAAAACAAGTATCAAGTACAAAAAGCTTATATCAACTAATTGGCTAGTCTGTTGCACAAACCCAAACGTCTCAGATAATCTAGCCCTGCTGGCCGGTTGTAAGGTTGTCGTTCCGAATAAGGGAGAAGTAACAGGGACAATCCCATCAGAAGCATGCCCGTAGTTTCCATTAGCAACAGAAATAGATCATGTCAAGTTTGTAAGCAGTGGCGGCTGAATAAAATGGTCTAACCTGAGTTGACTCTGCTCTACCAGTCACTACACCAGCTTCTCTTTTACTCGATTCGCTCAGGAGCTGATTTGAGCAGCGGTCTGGATGCGATGGAAGCCTGGCGCTAATTCTCGTCTGGGTTTTTATACTCGTGGGGCAAGCGTAGGGTGCTAATCGGTTATTATCGATTAGCGACGTGTTAATACAGTACACGACAGCCACGCACGGAAGGCATGTTTTAATTTCATTGTTTTACAAAGTCTATTATTTCTTGCACGCGAGGTCTCCAACGTCGCGCCATTACGTTGGACGTAGCGTGTGATCAACAGTCGATTTTCCAATAAGTAATGAGATAAATACTGTTAATAATAATTTAGTCAGCTAACTGATGAAGGACAAGAGCCACTTTTCCTAGAAATTCTAGTAATGCATGGTTAAAAGTTGATATCCAGGATATGTTTTTGGAGCTCAAGTGATTGACCCATATTAATGATGTTTATTTGTGAAAGATCCTTTCTTTCTCAGATGAGCCACACTCGATTTCTACACTAGTGCTATCTATTCTCACTATAAAGCGGTCTCTCTTTTACGCCTACCCACCTGTTTTCCCTATCATTTTTTTAAAATGTTTTTCTCTATTTTCTAGCAAGTTGTCTGGTTACGTT